CTTCGAAAGCCAAGAACGCTCATTCAGCACGTCAGCAATGTCTTCATCACCATGAAATACACAGCAGCACGGAAGTTTTCCCACTCGACTTCGCAGTGCCACAACCGCATCCAGACTTGCATGAACCTGGTGGCACTGCGTGCCTTGGCGACACCGGCCATGAAGAAACAGTTGGCAAAGACTTGGAATTGTCGCGCGATGCTGGGCCCGGGTGGCGTAGATGAAATTGCAGGGGATCAAAAGCTTCCGGGTGGCAGGGTCAACGACCACCATGCAAAGCGTGCCATCCGCACTTTTTGAAAGGTGTCGGCTACCACCTTTCATCAAATCGGGTTTATTTTCAAAGTTATTTTCCAGTGTAAGCATGGTGAGTACTCGTAACGGCAGACGCCAACTCTTCTGAAGGGCTTCCTTGGTTTCTTTACTTTTTGTTTTTTTTGTTGTTTTTGTGTGTGTATGTTTTTCCTTTTCTTGTTTTTTTTTTTTTCGTTGTTGTTGTTGTTGTTGTTTTTTTGTTTTTTGTTTTTGCTTGTTTGTTTTACTTACCTCTTGTTGTTGTGGGAAAGTTGTTGGAAGCTTCTTGAAGATAAGCCAGTAGAAGAAAACAATGAAATAAAAATCAACAAAAAGTCAAGACATGAATAAATAAATAATAATTTAAAAATAAATAAAAAAAAATAATAAAAACAGACAGACAGACAGAAGGCACTTAAAAGAATGATGCATAAAAGAACAGCGTTTGCCTCCTTCTTATCTTTTCATTTTTATCGTTATGTGAAAAATTAAAACAGAAACGCCGCAGGGAAAACAATAATAAATAAACAAAATAAATAAACCGGTCACCCAATCCTTTTTCATTCTCCCCAATCCTTTTCGAACCGTCGCCCTACCCCCTTCCCCAATTCCAGTGCTCTCCTTAAATAGAATGCATTTATTGCTGGATATCTTCTTCCTTCGTATTTTTATTTTTTATTTTTTATTTTTCCACCTTTTTATGCATATATTTATATACACCAAATATGTTTTTCATTTACCCCCACGTCTCTTCCGCCTCGGTGGTCCTTCATGGTAGCCTTCCGTGCTCCCCAACATTTTGCTCCGCATCATTGATGAATCTTAATACACAAACACATATACATGACATATACATGTGCATCCGTACCTACAAAGATGCGTGCAATGTATACGCAAAAAAAAAAAAAAAAAGACAAGAGTACATGGGTGATTATTTCCTTCTCTCTGTGTGTGGGTGTATTTCGTTCTGCTCAAAATACCACCATCTCCGCTGTTCCTTTTCTTTGGTTTCGCTTTATTTTTATTTATATTTTCTTTTTTTCCTTCTTTTGTTATGAAAGTTTTCCTGTCCTCATGCACGTACCAGGCATCCACGTGCAAACACACCCACGCAACATGTGTACATCAAATAAATATATAAATATATATATGCGTATTGCACATTCAGTACCCCTGCATAGGAGGGAGAAAGACATATATATATATATATATAGAGAGAGAGAGAGACGGTTACGGTCCTTGCCGCAGGAAAAGCGATGAGCCGCCCTCCAAGAGCATGATCGATATTTATTTTAACGGGCAACACCAGTCAAAACAGGCCTTTTCTTTTCTCTTCTCTTCTCTCCCACTCACTACTCCTTCTTCTCTTCGCCCTACCCCACCCCGCCTCCCTCCCCCACACACACACACAAACACACTCTCCGGGAGTGATAACTGCCACAACAGCGGCAGCAGGAGAAGGCAGGCACGTAAAAAATTTAAAAAAGAGGGGTCATTCGTCCGTGTGAAAAAAAAGACAAAAAAAATTTTTTCTGTTTCCTCCTTCATGTGTTTCTTGTGTCTCCCGGGGAAGAATAAGAAAGGAAGGCAAACACACACAAATAATAATAATAATAATAATAATAATAGTTTTTTTTTTAAAGATATATTATATATATATATCACTTCTCAGTTGTCTCGAAGTGTTGTGATTTGCGAAATTTTAATGACACAAATGTATGAGAAGGGGGACAAAACGAGGGAGCAAAGAAATAGAGAGGTAAAGCAGCAGGAGGAGGTGTGGGGGAGAGGGTTAGCGGCATGATTGTGAAAGAGGTGAAGAAAACCCCCCGTCCATACATTCCCACAGGGAGCAGGTGGTGGTGGTGTTGGTGGCACATCAACGACCCGTCGAACAGACAGGCGCAAAAATCAAAACCAAAAAGAAAAAAAAAAGAAAAACAACACGTCGTACATATCCGTCACATCTCTCATCCGCCTCCTTACAAAAATTGGTTCGTATCTTCACGTAAGTCACTTATTCCTCCACAAAAATTCCGTTTTTTTTTTTATTATTATTGCTTCTTCCCCCATCCCATGTTGCCTTTCAGCGTCTTATCCATTCTACACTTCTCTCTTTTTATTTCTCTTTCTCTCTCTCTCTCCGCTTGCCAGCACTCAGCAGCCGTCCTGTACATATGATACATGGGTGCCTGTGTATTACGTGGATTCCCGCAGCCCCTCCCACCGCTCCCCTCCCAGTCGTCTTATTATTCGTGCCGCGTGCCCTCACTTCTCTTCCTCGCCTCTCCTCCGCCCGGCGCACCAACCGCAAAGAATATGACGCAAGGTATGCACAGATCAAAATAAATACATAAATACACAACCGCGGCAATGCCCGTTCTTCACAGGATGAGTGGGCGAGTTCAACAATTAGGAAGGTCATAACAATAAGGAAACCAAACATGCACACACCCACAGAGAGAGAGAGAGAGACATAAGGAAGGAGTGCGGTGCACTCCACTCAGGCCACAAAAGGAGGCCCCCGAAAGGAAAATACATACACAAAAGCAAAAAGTAAATTAAATGCAAGAAAAAAAAAATAAAACATGAACAAATAATTTTGATTGGGATTACTGTTCGTCTTCTTTCCGTCCTTTCACCGTCCACGCACCCCTCATTTCATCGCCTGGGGCCAGGGACACGCATCCGCAAAGATGCCAAAAATAAAAATAAAAAAGGCACATGTATAAAAATATTTGGAAAATAAAAATAAATAGACGTCGCCTCCGCCTTTCACCTTCCTTTCTTTGCCTCACCCCTTCTCCCCCCAACAAAATGCACACATACCATACATACCATACATGAAACAGCAAAAAAGAGGGAAGACATTAGAAGTCGGACCATTTCTCCTTGCGTATTATATAATACATCATCTCGTCAATTGTTTGCCTGCAGTTTTGGGAAGGGAAAATGTAAATTCGTCCGTTTGGGCAGAGTATTCATTCACAAACAACAAAAAAAACTCAACCAAATAAATCAGACAGTAAAAAAAAAAAAAAAAAATTAGATAAAAAAGAAAAGGAAAATGTAAAACAAAAACAAAAAAAGAAGAAGAAAAAAAAAACGTAAAGAAGATGTGGCAGAATTAAACAATTACTTCTTTTTAATCCTAATTTTGCTGCTTGTTATTATTATATATATATAATACTTTTCATGCTTGTTTGTTGTTTGTTGTTGTTGCTGTTTTCTTTGTTCGTTTTCCCATTTTGCTCCTCGGCACCCAATTTGAAGAATGCGATGCATTCCAGTTCACTGCCCCGTTGCTTTTGGCACCAGTAAATGGCAGACAAGGACGAAAGGTAAGTCCAAAAAGCATGTATACACACACACACACACACACACAGAGAGAGAGAGAGAGAGAGAAAGAGAGAAAGACATAAACAAGATATAGGAGGGCAAAAATAAAATAAAAGAAGGGAAAGAGTAAAATCATTTACCTGCTTTGCACCTTTGCTCAGGTGCACATGTATATTATTATGCATACAAACAGGTGCCACAATTCTTCTTTCGACCAGCTGTGATGATAATGACGATAATGGGCTCAGTCTTCTTCTCTTCGTTCACTGTTCCCCACACCACCCACATCGGATTACAAGCGCCAAAAAAGAAAAAAAAAAAGAGTCGCTTTGCTTCCTGCAGCTCACCCCATTAACCACATAAACACAGGCACGCAGAGACAGAAATATATAAAGGGAGAGACAGACAATTCAACATATATTATTATTATTATTAAAGCAATTTTTTCTTTTTTTTGCTGGCAATCAATACTGAGCAAAGACGCATTCTTTCCTTCTCTTCCATGCATCTTGCCCTCAGGTTTCATCTGTGTGGGCATGAATTTGCTCTCTACAACCACTCAGTCGCTCTCCGCTAGAACTCCCCCGTGTTTTTCCTCCTCACTCACGCAGTACCCATGCCTCTCATTTCACACAGACAACCATCTGACGGCCAATAAATAAAGGGAGGCGGGATAAAAATAAAAAGAAAAGGGGAAGAGGGAGGGGGAGATTAGATGTCTTTCACTCCGCATGGCCAAAGAATACACAGGATCCAATTTCTCCCTTATTTCAAAATAAGCCACGAAGTTCAGTGTAAGTCTCGTCGAAGGCGCACGACGATCGGGTTCGTGTTTATCTTTGCCAAAGAAATTGCCGCCCAAAAGGTAGTAAAGAAAACAAAGGCAAAAATCAGAAGACATACACAGACCATATATATATATATATATATATATATATTGTTGTTGTTGTTGTTGTTGTTGTTGTTGTTTGAAATGGAAAATAAATAATAAATATAAAAAATATTTTGTCACGCAGCGAGTCATTTTTATCAAATGTTTCTGAATATCCGCAACTCCATCATGCCGGTGGATCGGCTAAAGTAAAAATCAAGAAAAAAAAAAGGTAAAAAACGATGTTTCACGCCTCAGTGTAATCTATACATGTATAACCACAAAAACACACATGTTATTCCTGTATTCTCCCTTCATTAAAATATTCCTTTCTTTTCATATCGAGTCCTCTCCTCTTCCTTCGCCGCTCTTTTTCCATAAATTTTTCTTTCTGTATTTTTTTTTTTTTATTTTTTCTCACTATTTTTTTTTTTTTCTGTGTGTGTACGTGTTCAGGCTGCTGCTGTGGGCTTTGTTTCTCTTGAAGGTTTCTTATTCACAACAAATACGATATTACGGGAAGAAGGGTCATGCTTGGTCCAGGATTGTTTTGCGGCTGAAAAAACTCCTCCAAACGGCTCCGCAAATTATAACCAGCGGAAGAGGCAACAAATGCCGAAGGTACCGTTATGTTCCGAGTCTGTTCAGGCATGTATGCCTCCTGTTGCTGCGGTTGTTGTTGTTGTTTTTGTTGTTGCTGATGTGAAAACCACATGGCAGAGTATGCTGCTGAGGGGGAAGGATTCATTGGCATTACGTTCATCCCAGAGACTTGAGTTTGCTCAACAAGTTGGTAGGGTAAAGATGACACTGGCGACGGATTTGTGTTGCCATTTCCCAGAGAAAAAGCGAAAGCAGCAGGACTGCTAGGGGGTCCAATGGACACGGAAATGGCAGATTCATTCGGTATGTTTTGAGACATGGAAGATACTCTCCGTGGAAGCACTTTTTCATCTGACGTTTTGTGCTGCAGACCCTCATGATGCATTCCTGCACCACCAGCCCCAGCCCCAGCAGCCACCGTTGAAAATGCCAGCGCCGATCCCTGTGGTGGTGAAGCGGAGTGAACCCACATACAAGGAACTGCAGATGCAACTGCCGTATCACGATGAGGAAACACATTGTTTATACCACCATTACTTTTATAGTCTTTGGTCGAAAAGGGGCTCGTGATCATCATAGGAAATTGAGTTACCGCAGGAAGAAAACTGGATGTTTGTTCTTGTTGCTGCTGCCGGCTTGAAGCCGCCAATTGGACTTCAGTCATTACTGATGGGAACATTGGGGCCGCATTTGGCAAAAGTGTAAAAGTACCTTCCGTTTTTGAATCCTTCGTATTGGCTTCTGTCATAAACGCAAATTTCGTTTCCAGGATTTCACGACACACGTGCAGGTACCAGCAGTCAGCGCCATAGCGACAGCCACCTGTTTTGCCGTGTAGACGGCAGAGAACACCAAAGCTTAGAGGACGTTGCACCTTATTTGTAACAAAACGAGCTAGTCCGCTTGTGTAGGCCACATGGCTGAGTGGCACCCACACATTACTGATGAAAACCCCTCGCTTAGAGTTTGCCTTCGCATCCCAGCAGTGGGTGTTGCAGTCGCCATGAAATGTGCAACAGCATGGAAGGCTATCTACAATCCGACGTAGTCGCTGTACAATCTCCGGATCCACATGTACCTGATGACAATTGACGCCTTGGCGACAACGACCAGATTGAAAAAGGAGACACAAACTCGGATTTTGTGCACGAATTCCAAGGGCTTTGGTGGGAGAAATCGCGCTGAGTGGTACACGAAGCTTTGAACGCCGCGGATCCACAACAACAATCACCTTCTCTTCGCCGCATTTCTCAGTGATGCCATCACGTCTCTCCTCTCCGACAGACCCTACGAGTCCTGATGAGGCAGAAGAAGGAATAAACAATGCCTGGGGCATTTCCTGGCAGCTCTCATTGTCCTTCACGACAGCGTTCGATTGAGTTGCATCGGATCCCCAAATATCATCAAATTCAATGTATGGCTGAGAATGCTGAACCCCATTTTCCAGGAGCACCGTGAAGGCGTTGAGGGAATTTTGAGACGCGGAAGCTCCAGAGTAATTACGGGACGCCAGCTTATTCGTGATTGTATGCACAGCCTCCGTCAGTCCCAAGGAAGAACCCAGAGAGGTCGGCAAAGCGTCCCCACGCATCGGAATCGGTCGCCAATTCTCGTCCTCAGAAATATTGCTCTGACAAACGCCGGTGCCGGCGCCATTCGACAGAATACTTTCTCCAAAATTCTCCGCAGCCGCATCCTCTCGTGTTTTCATACACGCCACCTCATTATTCAGTTCGTTAGACCACGAAATGACGGCATGCAAACCGCTAGCATAATCGAGATCCATTGAAATCCTTAACCAAAAACCTATTTCCGTGCCTTTGCCTTTTCTTCACCCTGACACTCACCGCCTCCTTTTGCCTGCGTTTTTGTCCTTTTTTCCCTTTTTTTAGTTTGGGTAGGGTTTGCGTCAATTATAGTTTCTTGTCTAAAAAAACTCCAGTGATTCTCTGCGTGGCCTGAGTTCTCGTTGTTGCTGCCGTTTCTACCTTTCCTCTTCACGAGTAAATAGCCACGGAAATGAAAAAAAAAAAAAACTAAAACTCAATGAAATGACCCCTCACCAGAAAGCTCAAATATATAAAACAAACACAGAGAGAGAAAAAGAGAGAAGGGAAAATAAAGGGAGTGCAGAAAAAAACGGGAAATCCCCAAAAGAGCATCAAAATCCTCATGCACGCCCAAAAAAAAAAAAGAGCATCTATACTAAGCCTGCACATGTGTGGCTTGTAAATCCCACACTCCAGTACTGCAAATTGAGCAACATACGAATATGTATAGTACTTTCCACTCATCAATCGCAACAGCAAAAATAAAAGATATACCACCACAAACAAAAAGCACCGCAACGAAGAGATTCCCGTTGTCCTTTTTCCCACCTCAATACCCACAACCAATCACTTTTCGTCAATCTTGCCACTTTCAACGCACCAAGGTATTGTGGTTAAATTGCCGAGAGCAAAACTCCACCTCTTCCTCCACAGCGCAAAAATCATCCAGAGAAGGCACAGATTCCATATTTTGAGTATCATCTAGACGCCTGTTCGACGTCGCCCCAGACGCCGCACATCCATCACTGAGAGACTCAAGGCCGTAAGTTGCTTTGTACCACTCCTCATAGCGCTCCGCATCTGGGGTGTACTTCTTTCGCACCTCATCGTTGTTCTCAAAAGCTCGGCGCCACGAAGTGCAGCGACGTGTTGGAGCAGGTTGCGGAAGCTGCGCCACGTACCCCTGCGTGATGGGTTTGCTAAAAAGTAAAAACAGAAGGGATCGCTGATACATGCCTATTTTCCCTTTCCCCTTCCTGTCCGTTTTGCACACTACCTGCCGCGGTTCTCTGGGCGGTGAAAGAAACAGAGATTTAAAAAAATAATAATAAGAAAAAGAAAAAAATGAAAAAGAAAATGCTACAATAAAAATTAAGAAAGAAATAATTGAGCAAGAAACGGAGGAATCCGCTGACACACACACACACACACACACACGCAGAAATAGAAAAAAAAAACTACTCCTAATTTTAGTTTGTATGCACCTCTATTCGTTTTAAACAAAACATATGAATATGCATATAATTAAGTATTCTGTTCACCTCACACCTCATTTCTTGCTTAAAATGGAAACGAATGCGCAAAAAAGTCAAGCTCATTCTCGTGTCGGTGAAAAAAAAGTAAAAACCTGAACAAATAAATACCCAAAATAATAATAATAATAATATCAAAAGACAGCAGAAAAAAATTTGGAAAAAAAACACTCGCGTGGTAAAGAAAGTTTGCTCAACCTTGCCATTTACAAGTAAAAATTTGCGTAAAAGCTAAAATGATGGTTTTTGCGACCATCAAATGTCTACTTTTGCTAGACCTCTAAAGTCACTCCCAACCCACCTTCAATATTTCACAACCCGCAGATGTATGCTTTCGGTCCAATTACAGAAATAATTTACTGATGAAACAAAATATTTCCCTTCTTTTTTTCTTCCTTCGGTTTGTGTGTGGGTAAAGGGAGGCGACTTATTTTGTTACCATCTCATTTTTAAAAATGTATATAGATATGCTAATTAGTGCATTTGCTTCATCATCAAATCATGTTTTGTTTTTTTTTCTTGTCTTTCTTGTCATTCACGTCATTTGCCGTCATTCAAAGAGCTTTGATATTTTCTCACATTAATGCGGGCAGACGCACCCATTTCTCAGAGCCTAAAGAACCATTTCCACAGTTTAGCCCATCTACTTCAATTAGCTGCCGGAAGTTCTCTGGTCATGACCTTCCTTTATTCCACAAACAGCCCTCATAAACCCGAGAGGCCCAATCATAATCGCCATAAGTTTTCCATGTTTATCACCACCAGTCATTGTTTCCCTAATAATATCCTCAAAAATCAATCCCTTGTAGCCTAAACAAATTGCCGACGCCCCTGACAGCAAGTGAAATACAAAATTAAGCAGCTTTTTTCACGATATACAGCCTCTGCAAACCCAAGTTTGAAAGGAAAAAAACTCAAACTGTGAAAACAAGTTCTCTGACGTCTTTTTAGCCGCCTGAATGGCAAAAGGCTGTTGTTGGCTGCCAAAAAAAAAATATATTTATAAAATAAAAGACCTTCAATTTTTACGCTTTTTTCGTTTTTGTAAAGAAAAAAAAAATCACAAAAATGGCTTTGAAAGCATGATCCATGAATTACATAAAAGGAAATGCAACTCAGAACTTGAAAACCATCTTCTGCATGTAACCAAGTTCTTTAAGCATGCCTTTCAGCTCACCTTGAGAGGGTGGACTAGTCTTAAAGTCCTTGTCGCCTGAAATAGCCTCCATAAAAGGGGGCGGTCCGCATACAAGGATTATGGAATCAGCTGCACTGCTTGGTGGCGGCATGACCGATTTAATCATCTCCTTGTTCACATATCCTACACCTCCCATCCAATCCGAAGGAGCCTGGGAAAGAACATAGTAAGGTGAAAAGAGAGGACACGTTTCCATAAGCTCATTGAGTTCATTTCCCAAAAGAACATCCTCCTTGCGAGTATTAGCATAAATCAGAGAAATGGCCGTCGTGTTCTTAGGCACACGCAAGACATTACGGGCCACCTGATACATTGGAGTAATTCCTGTCCCTCCTGCAATCATGCCAATATGCCTGTATTGGTTCGCCTTAATCGGAATCTTTACCCATGGTCCTTTAAATTCCAAAGTGTCACCTTTCTTCAGAGAAAAAAGGTGTGTTGTCATCTTGGAGTTATCGTAGCGTTTCACAAGAATTTCAAAATAGCCGCGTTGATCACTCTTATTAATTGGTGTATAGGGACGAATAACCGCCTCTCCATTCTTTCCAGTATACTTCGCTGTGATACAGGAAGAAACTTCCAGATTCAAGGGCATATCAGCTTCTGGAAGAGCAAAACGAAAAACTCTTGTATTGTGTGATTCATCATAAAAATTCATTAATGTAAACGGACGAAACTCTGTGGTAGAAAATGGACTCTTTGCAGCTGAACAGGTCGCAAGCTCTCGATTATAACAAAATGAAGAGGCAAATCCGGTGGCGGCCGCCGCAAATAAAGCTTTCATTATTTCTTATACTCTAACCAAAAAAATATATAGAAATACACACAAAAACAAAAAATCCGTTTCTAAAGCAAGCAAAGAACTATTAATACAATTATTATTATTATTATTATTATTATTATTATTATTATTATTATTATTATTATTATTATTATTATTATTATTATTATTATTATTATTATTATTATTATTATTATTATTTTAACATTTATAATACTTATTGTTAGGATCAATTATTAATTAATAATTATAACTCATAATAAACAAATAATAATAATGAAATGAAAATAATACTAATATGAGCAAAAAATTTAGCATATACATATATATTCGCAATTTAATCAGGGTCATATAGCAATAAAAAAAAAAAAAGACTTTAATCCTGCGACTTCACTTCGCGGAAATATTTAATGTATGCTGTGGAAAACCGAACTCCTCTTGCAGAACTGCTTTAAGCTTGGATAACCAATCTCCACCAAGTTGAAGTTCTAATGGAACCTGGGTTCCCTGTTTGACCTTTGTCATCTCCTTAGATGGATCATATATCGTGCAGAACGTGGAAAACTGATGCTTCCATTCGGTTGCCAAAGAATCCAAATCAAACCCATAAGCATCCAAACCTCGCACAATTGTGACAATTTTGTTTCCTTTCCTTTTCTCTGTAAAAACTAAAATTTTTGGCAGCTTGCCCTTTTTCGTGGTCTTCGTAATAAACGACACGGACGTAGCCACACCGTTGATAAACTGATTCGTCTCCATCAAAATTTGATGTACAGGTGCAAACATGCGATCAATAACTCGATCTTCGACCTCTGTAATGCGCATAGATTTATCCAATTCACTAGCAATGGGTAAAAGAGTATCGTCCAATTTGACAAATGGAATACCATCCGAGTGCCCTTCAGTTTCCAAAAGTCCTTTTCCCCTAATATATTTCCGAAGATTATCGCATAAATGTTTTCGAGAATATAACTCATCAAGAAAATCATTGTTATCCCCATAAGAGGCTAATAAAAGGTTTTGAGGCAGGGTTTCTCCCAAAATTTTTTGCTTCATGTTATCTAAATACATTCCTGTACATAATATTCGAGTTAATTCAATAGCACTCCCATTCTTGGGAGAATATAAAGTTTCAATCGACACAATACGACGCTTAATTCCCCCTTTTGCGCCTTCTCGAATCATTTTTTGCTCAGCCTCCAAGGCCTCTTCCTCTTTTGCAGGCTCATGAATAAGCTGCAAAAATTCAGCGTAATTTCGCCTATGTCGCCTTAGTAGCTCACTGGACTTATTTATTTGAACGATAAAATGATTTCCTTTTTTTTCCTCAGAGACAGTAATCAAATCGGATCTCATCAACAGATATGGAAGAACCTTTTTATATTTTGTTCGTTTAAAATCAATTTGTAATTTAGCACCAGGAATTCTTGGGGCATTTGAAATTAATAAAGGCGAAAACTCTGTAAGAGGCATAGGAAGCATAGAATGAGACAAAGCTCGAACCGTTTCACAGAGCGCAAAATCAATCAGAGCATCCTCTCCCTCAATCATTTTCAATGTAGTTTGAATTACACGACTCTGATTGAAAAAAACATTTTTCCTTAATACCTCATCATCACCATTTTCTAAATTTCCTTGATCGCCTTTTTCCTCCGAAATCTCATTCGCAGTATCTAATTTCGGTAAAAGAATTTCAACAACTTCATTGGCCCGAAATGTTGATGGAAGGACCGGATATACTGAACCACAAAAAGCATTAAACACAGCAAAATAAGAATCCCACAAAAGATCTTTATAACAATGAAGTACGTACACTCCTTTTCCAATTTTAGCACGATTTACAAGACCCTCTGTAGATAGCCCAACGGCATAAGGACAGGAAGTTCCAATGGAATGGATAAAAACAGTTTCTCCCACAAGCAATTTTTTATTATTTACTTCTCCAATATCCACCACACCAGGCATCATAAGGTGTGCTCCAGAAAGAATATAATGCGATGTCGCACCCTTGCACCAAACTTTTGAACCAAATAAAGAAACTACCTCCATGTCCTCCTTTTTGTAGTAGTTCCTCATCAATAAGAAAAAAAATAATGTGGGGATCAAAGCTACATCATTCCCTGCAAACATGCCCTGCGAATCATCGGGTAAAGAAATAACAGAAAACAGCAAAGGAATCCCATTTACCACGTAAAAAGCAGCCACGCCTCCAGTTGAGAATTCCCATGTGATACGAGTAATACTATCACTCTTTTTCCAGAAAGATTCCAAAGAATCCAAATGGTCCCTTTCCAAAATAGCAACAAATCTATCTCTAAGCTTTTTTGACTCCTTCTTGCCCACAACCAACTGCTCCTTTGTTGAGTGTCTTTTATGGAACATCACCAATATGAATAAAAATCTATGCAAAAAGAGAAAAATTAAATAAACAAAAAATGAAAAAAATGTAGATATAAAATGTAAATAAAGATGATTAAATAATGCATATATTACGAGCAACACGCAATAATATTTGTGCTTCACCAAGGAAAAAAAAAAAAAAAAAAAAAAAAAACAGATAAATTGTTGAAAAAGCATCATAATAATAAATAAATAATAACAAAGCAAAAAAGAATTTTCACATTGAAAGTAATGCCAACAAAAGCAGCAAAAAAAACGCACGAAAAAAAAAACGCATATAGAAAAAAAAAAAACTATTCCCTTTTTGACTTCAAAGCAATCTTCTTTTTCGATATTCCTTTGGGTGGTTGAGGAAAGCGTTTTGCGAGAATAGTTTCCACAATTTTAAAAAGTTCCTCAGGAATGTCACGATTATGTCGAAGCCAAAGGGTATGAAGCGTTTCGTTATATACATCTTCGGGGGGAATACGGTTTTGCTTTCCGTGAGAAGCTTTCTCTGCACTCTCTTCAGTTGCAATATCCCCATTTACATCAAAAGTTCCTTGAGTTGAAGGTCTCGCTGATAAATTCAATACATCATCATAATCGCTTGAAGAAACTGGTTCCTCTATAGAAATACGTTCTAAAAGGGCTGGAGAAAGACGCTCCAGTATCGGCTCCAACGCAGATATTAGCTTGTAAGCACCATAAAATGTGATGCAATTTGCACGTAGATTAAGCGTTTTTATTTTAGATGAATTTCGCAGGAAAGAGGCAATAGCAATGGCCCCTTTGTCGTGTATATCATTGCATGACATGTGCAAGGTTTCCAAATTATGAATACATTCTGCAGCTGCAGTCGCACCTTTATCACCAACGTTGTTCCCATCCAAGTTAAGGTGCTTTAAACATCGATTTCTTTTCAAACAATGAAAAAACTCTACAGCGGCTTCCTCCTGCATATCACACATTGATAAATCCAAAGTCGTAACAGTATTATTTAAAATCAGTTTCCTCCCAAGACTGACACACCTTTCTGGACCGAGAAATGTAGCGGACAAACTCAGTTTGATGCCCCATTGCGGTGGTGGATTTAGGTAACGCTGAATCAAAAAAGCAGCTTCTTCGCTCGGCCTTAACCGCCACATATGAAGGCTTGGAGCGTCCGGATCGGGAGGAATGGTGGCGACCTCAATAATTTCCACCGCTCGCCGATAGGCGTGTTCGGCGTCCTCGATCATTTTCACCCTAAGAAGCACCTTGGGAAAAATAGAACGAAAACAATAACAAAAACGCTTTGGAAATTTGAGAAACCCAACAATTTACGCGCACAAAACCCCCCGAAACAACCCGCCCCGAAGCAGGACGAAAAGAACAACCGGAACAACCGAAAAACGAAAACGGGACCAAACGCAGCTAGCGAGGACGCCGGGAAAGAATGAAAACCTAAAGCGAGGGCGTGCCCGGCGGGACCGGCGCGGTGCTGGGGCCACTCAGCGCCATTTTGGCCTTCCGGTTCTCGTTCTTAGGGGCGTGTCGCTCCCGTGCGCCCTTTTATTGCTGTTGTTATTGTTACCGCCCTTGCCATTATTATTGGTAGCAGTGGTTGTTGGTTATTGCGCGTTTGCTTCCTGAGCGCCTTTTTTTTTTTTGCTGTTTTTTTTTGTTTTTTTGTTTTCTCACCCATCTGCAGCTACCCTCGTTGAGAATAAAAGTTTTTTTAATGAAGAAAGAACAGGTATTGCAGCAGGAAGAGAGCGATTCCGCCCTGGCAAGGCGACTTCATGAGGAAATAAATGGCCCTGGAAACGTCCAACCCGGAGCTGGAAGCATTCCCAATCAGGCATCAGGTGTGAAGCTCATAGAGTGCCCTGCATGCACCTTTATCAATACCATCACTGAATTTGTGCCTGGCCGCTCTTATACTTGTGAACAGTGTTTTACTCCTCTTTCTGTTCCGGCATCAAATGAAACAATTGATGCACCAGATAGTAACCAGAAGATGGTTATGTGCAACGCTTGTCAATACATGAATCGGATTCCTTTGGGGAATTTTGACGCCATTGTTTGTGGTGCCTGTTGTCACAAACTCAAAGGCAAGACTCCGGTGAGTGAGACTCAACATCCCCAATTGCCTCCCGCTTCCACACGGCCACTTCAGGTCCGCTGTGGAGAATGTAGTAGCATCAATGCATTGCAGGTTGGTATGGGAGTGTCAACTGTGAGGTTTGAGTGCGGTTCCTGTCAAACAGTTAATGAAGTTTCGCTGTAATAGGAAAAGCGCACTTAGTACTTGTGTTTGATCATGTATTTTGTTTGTTTGTTTTGACGCTGACACACAACGCCTCTGTTATGCCTGTCTACTTTGGCAAGTCAAGAAGCACAATGGCTTCTTTGTCAATAAGTTCTGGCTCTTTTTTTTTTTCTTCTTCCTTTTTCTGTTGTTGATAGATATATTAATAGAGATCAAAGGGCGAGTTTTTTTTTTTTACTCTGTTTGTTCCTTCCTGTTCGGTAGTAATTGTAAAGTCAATATAATAAACAGCATACTTATGGGAAGGGTTGGTGAATACGAAATATTTGAAACCGTTGGTACAGGCGCGTTTAGCAAAGTTAAAAGAGTAAGACATATTCCTACTGACGCATGTTTTGTGGCGAAAATAATACCCAAGAGCAATCAACGAGTAGAAAATGACATTCGTGTGGAAATTTCGATTCTTCGTAGATTAAAGCATCGCAATATTGTTCAATTGGTAGAAATTTTGGAGAGTCCTAATAATTATTACATTATTCTTGAGCCCGTCTTTGGAGGAGATGTTTGTAGCCTAGTTCTTTCTCAAGATAGCTCTCTTGAAGAAGAGGTGGTATCTGGTTTGTTTTTTCAACTTCTAGCTGGTGTTCGTGCTTGCCACCAAAATGGTGTGGCACATAGGGACTTAAAACCAGAAAATCTCCTTTTAACTGAAGGAAATGTGCTAAAAATATCCGATTTTGGACTAAGCCGGCTACATAAACAAAGCAACTTCCACGCACAAATTGATGAGTATGCCCATACGCTTACCGGAACCCTTGCTTATGTGGCACCAGAAGTTTTTTGCGGTACCTATGATGCTTTTAAAGCGGATATTTGGTCTATGGGGTGCATTCTTTACGTTTTATTGACCAGTTGCTTTCCGTTTGGATATACAACAGATGCAAGAGAGCTTGAAGAACGTATTAAAATGGGACGTATTTGCAAGCTGCCCGATTCGGTTAGTGAAGAGGCAAAAGAGTTGACTTTATGGCTTATGTCACTTCATCCCGAAGATAGACCCTCGTTGGACCAGGTAGCGTTGCATTCTTTTTTGAAAAGGTATGTGCCAATGAAACACATTTTGGCACTCATAGGGAGCAAACAACCACCACCCCTCGCAGCGAACCCTGCCGAATTTAGTAGTGAGGTTGTTGAAGAAGAAAAACAAGTCAACGAAAGAGGTCGCCCTCTTTTTGGTAAAGAGGCACCTCGAGAATATAGTTTGAAACCATGTTCAGGTGGGTCTTCTAAACCAATGGGTCAATCAGGGAAGGATTGAAGAATAAGTTGGTTTCTTGAGGTGCTTTTTTTCTGTTTTCCCTCCTATTTTGTTGTTCTTAGTTCGTAGTAATGTGAGGACACACCGAGAGGTAATAATAGCTTATTATTATTATTATATCTATTTTTATTTTATTTTCACTTCCGTCTTTATGACCGTTATTTCTCGGAAGTTTACACGGCCATTTGGTGATGGTTAGCTTCCATCATCATAAATCAATGAAGTTTGAATTTTAAAATGAGTAAATATGAGTGAGTCTTACTGTATTGGACGTTGTTAGCACAGTGTTTAGAACGAAAGGAAGAGGAAGTTTATCATTAATACTATTATTAATTTGATTACTACCATTAATACTATTATTCCTAACCTTATTATTAATCTTGTTGTTTACTATACAGCCATAAATGCCTTTGATTTTCCCTTGTTTCCTCTTTCCTTTTTATGCATGTTTTTGTCTGGGGAGAGAGCGAATCGTACCTTTTGATTGTGGGAGTTGCTTTTTTTTTGGTGTTTATTTTGCCTTTTTCTGTACAGTCCCAGGGAAATTTGTTCTTTGTCGTTGTTATTTACAGTTTCTTCTCAAAGTAATTTGAAGGCTTACACGCCAGACACCATTTTAGAACACTTTCTTCCCCACCAAGTTTATATGTGAAAAGGAACAATATTCTCCTCTTTGGATATTGCATAGAATAGCTAATGGAGCATGCTCCCACTATGCAGCCTCTCAGTAAAAACGGTCTCCACGCCATGCTTTTGTCTATGAGCCTGCAGAGCCGGGTAGTGGAGTAATTGCAGAATTGTCTCCTCGCATAGTTCACGTTGGCCGGTTTTAACGATGTCAGGTCAATGCCCGTGGCATGCCGTGCAATGGCGGGTCAATCCGTCGCTGCTGTGGCGCTGAAAGCCGCATGTTGGGCGGCGAAATTTGACCGGTGATAATCCCATCCGGGTGCTGTTGCCCGGCAACGTGCGCTTTCTCGACGGCCTGACCCCTCGGCCATTGCGAAATCGACAAAAGTGAGTTTTGTAACACCACTAGTTAGCCCACGGCATAATCGGTGAGTTGGGAGTTGCATTAATTAGAGCACCTAATATTTTTTTCTGTTTGTTTGTTTTTTTTTTTGTGTGTGTGTGCGTGTTTATTTTATTTTTTAGTAATTTCTGCGAAAGGTCCTTCTTGCAACAACTTTTCAAAAGACGGAAAAAAACGAATTAAAAAACTTATGAAATAACTCCTACTTTTTCTCTTGGCTGATTTTTTGATAGAAAATAAACTTAGCGAGTGTCAGTTAAACTGAACCGAATTTAGCTGGCATTTTTTTTTTTTTTTTTTCAGAATGCCAAAACCAGCACCTCGTTTTGCCATGGGGCATATACTTCCCCGTCGCACCAATGTGGGGTCTCAGTTTTTGTACACACAGAAACACGGAGCTCGTAATGTTTGGTACAAGAAGCAGTACTTTTCTATTCGACCTTTTGCCATTCAAAGACATAGAGGCACAACTCCACGCATCTTGCTTGACCGTAGCCTATGGAAATCGGTTTGGCTTACCAAAGTAAACCTTCCAGATGTCAATCGGTGGGAACGTGTTGTGAACAGTCAGCGTATCACTGAAGATCGATACGCCCTGGTCGAAGAAGAAGGTGTAATGCATAAGGTAAACTGGGGGCTTTATTGTGAACGGTTAGAAACTGAGTTAAAAGCTTCTCTGGAGCGATTACCACAGTACACACTTCTGATGAAGGCGGTTCCTTCAAGCTGGAAAAAACTTGATATTGAAATTAGCGTTGTACGTGGATTGTCGTTGCGTGAAGCTATGGCTCAATGCAAACTGTCCATGCGGAAAGGGCATCAAATTGTTTTTCGGGCTCTTGAAATTGCCCAGCAAGGAGCTGAAGCGAAAGGGCTTGAAAAGGATAACTTACGCATCGCACACATTTCTTGTTTTCCAGGTCCAACAGACAAGCAGATTGACATTCGCAGCCGAGGATACTATGCCTGGAAAACGAAGCGGTCTTCTCATTTAATCCTTACCTTGGCTGAAGATCCAGAGATGGTGCTTCCCGATCGTACCTCGATACCTTACGCTTCTCTACTATCCATGAAGCGTGCTGGATTATCTACGGAGCCCACGGTTCTAGATGTGCCTGCTATTAGTGCAGATGGTATCTAGCGCAGTGGCTGCAAACGCCCTAGAAAAGGGCGTTTGCGGTGAGTACACAGAGGGGAAAAAGGGGTAAAGGTGTAGCAACTGCAAAGACAGAAGGAAAGCAACGAAAAGGGTTAATCCTAGTAATGCCAGGTGCATACATTTCATATGCTTTCATGTACGGAATTAACTATGGGAATTCAGTATTATTGGTTTCTTCTCGCGTTATGTGTTTCTTATATCTTTCATTTTGTCTTTTCTTTTTTTTTTTTTTTTTTTTTGATAATAATTTTTGAAATTAAAACTAATGAGGATAAAAATTGAGAGAAGAGGCTATGTATTCTTTTTAAAAATGCTTAGGAAGCGATACAGACCTCTTGACCCGGCAGAAGAACGCTCTGTAGATGTTGAGCATAAGCTACAGGTAGGTTTGCTTTATGATGAACAGTCGTATTGTTTTAGGTGGCCTGATGCGCCATTAACGTCAATGTTGCGGCGGTCTAATGCCTCTCTGACCCGTGCCGTCCATGGAAATATGGTGTCATTTACGCAGTCTATAATTGCACAACCTCCAATTTTTACAATAGATAGTATTGCGACTGAACATGGAAAACGTGATTTTTTTGCTTCTGTTTCTGTTGATCGCCCAATCATCTCATTTTCGTCTGGAAACGTGTCACCATCAGCTCGGTATACCGAAACACAACGTTACAAAAGACATCCCGGGGCCCCAATAGAAACTTCTACAGAAGACAGTATTTTTTCTTTCAATGCTCAGCAGCTAAAAGACCTTAGAGATGCCGGCGCCTTTAAGGCGTTTCGTGAAGCATTGTCACGATCGGCGCCTGACTCGGTCAATCTTGATAATGAGGCGGAATTGGAAAGTATTGCAAGAAGAGAAATGGAAAATGAATTGACACGTTTGGAATGGCAAGCATTCCACGAATCCGAGAAAACAGCTCCCGCACTTCAGCGAATTTTTCTTCTGACAACGGCCGTACCTTTCATGGAGGATACGAAAAAGCATGGTAAGGAAGCCTCTACTCAGGTCTCTTATGGATGGCAGAGGATTGTTTATGATTTATGGATAAAGTGGAGACGTGAAACTCCGATGGTAATCGGAGATACGCTCACCGATACAAATTCGTCACCATGGGGTTCTCCTCTTCTAACTGGTGCCTTTATATCGTCATTGGCAAAGGAATACTTCTTAACCGGCAATGGTGAGCCTAATGGTGCTATTAAGTCAGGCAGGCTTCGAGAAAAAAGAGGTGGGAAAGATAAGCTAATGTTTCCTTTGACGTCCCCACGGCGTCGCGGCGCTTACGGCTATCTTCGTTGGCGTATAGACCTATATGAACCACGAATACGTAGTGCCTGGGGCGGAAGCCGGGGAGAGAACGGGGACCGGGGATCCGCAAAAATGCTGAGTGCGGCTGAGGTGAACAAGCTCATAAATGAAAAGCTTCCCGCTGCGTTAGCCGATGTGGGCTGCGATGAACGTATGGATCCTGTGGATGCATTGGCCCTTACTGATATTCGCAGTGAGGTGGAGACATGGAGGCATTGGCTCACGTATGTGTAAAATGCTGGATTTTTTCCTCGTTGATTTCTATTATTTTACTTGAATTCTCCATTCTTTCTCCATTTATTATTATTATTAGTATTATTCCGTATATCATTGAGATTGTACGATTTTACGAAAAATAAAACAGAAATGCACACACAAGCAAAAAAAGGGAATAAAATGTAGAAAACAGGATTTGCGTACCGACCATAATCTAATACCGTTATGCTAATATATATATATACCGGAGGGCATTTGTGACTTCCAAGCCTGTTCTTAATCATTTTTTATTGGTTTTGCTTTCTAACTTTTTCTCTCACTCTTTGGTCGGGAGTAAGCTAAGCGACAAAAACAATAAAAGCTAATTGGGTAAAATAAGGGGAGGTGCCATCTCAAAATGTCTAAATCATCGCAGCAAAGCACGAGGAAATGGATAGGGCAACGTGCGCTTGCGCGTGCGGAAGACGCAACAAACCGAAAGGCAAACGCTGCAGTACCACCTCCAGCGCCCGCTTCTCATGAACACAATCCGTCGTCCCCACCGCCAACTCTTGTGCAACTGCCCCTATCTCTGATTTTTGAGCGCCAGGAAGCGGTGGATGCCCTCAGCAACCTGTATCATAACGCTGAGACCGTGAGGAAAGTGGAAACGGGTGATCCTATATTTGATCTACGGGATGCTTCAAAGGTTCATGAGGAAATTATGGAGTGTCTTAAAGCGGGAGGGTGTGCGTAATGAGATGGCTTTTGTGCGTCAGATTGCTCGCGTATTCTACCTTTTTTGCCCCATCTATACGTCTTTGCGGCTCTTTAAAAATCACAGTTGTCCGCAGGGAAACACCGAGGAGTGGATAATGGAGGAGGTTTAGCAAATTTTTCTTTTTGTATTTGATTAAAAAAGGAATAAGAGGGGGTTGCGTTTTTTGTTATTCTCTATTCTTCCTTTACCCTGCACCAACGAAATGAATTATTAGGATTTTGCTCAATTTGGTTCACGTCACTGCGGCTGTAACCCTATCTGTGGCTTGAGTCTTTCTCTTATTGCTGGCCGAACCTTTTTATGTCTCTTTTTTTTATTACTGTTTTCCCCGTCCGGTTTCTTGGTAATTTATTTTATTGACTGCAATAAAAAGGTATTTTATTTAGGTGAATAGGCAGGGGGGCGCGTTGAGTCTAACGGGATTTTTTCCTCTTGCGGCATTGCTTATGCTTCGTGCCATAAGTGGCTTATTGGTGAGCGCAGCAGTTGGCATAGGCTTGTACAGTATCTATTCAACGCAAAATGAGAAGCTTGTGCAGGATGAACTGTCCCTACTAGAGAAGCACGAAAAGATGGCTGCAAATGGTAAAGTACGGGGCTTTGAATAAGAAAAGAATGGATGATTGGACATAATTCTTTACACCCTTTGTCTTTGCTCCGGTGGATGTCAAGGATCTTATTGTGGGATGGTGAACAAGAGAAATGTGAGGTTTAGCAGCTAAAAGATGTCAAAAGAAAAAGCGATTATACGTTAATATCTGGGTTTTTACTGTTGCATCAAAGTTTTTCCTCCTGCCTTTATTTCCCCTCTGTGTATTTGGTATGAAGAAGAGTAGGGGAAAAACGGTAGGTAAAGCACATACTTCTTTCAAAAAGCAAGATTACATCTATGGACGCCAATGATGGTGCACCGCCGTCGGAACCCCAGGGTACACCAGTGCTCCGTGGTGATAAAGAGCAACCGGTGCAGCAGACCGCAAATGAGGTGCAAGCTCCGCGTGTAGAAGCAATAGAAGAAGCAAACGAAAACATCCAGGCAGTGCAGTCGGGTGCTGTTGTGGAAGAGCCTCTGCAACAGGAGGAGAGAGAGGCTTCTGAGGGGGGCGAGGAATTAAAGCCGAATCTGGTTGGTGCAGAGGTGTCGTCGGAGCGCAAGCCCCGCGAAGAACTAGAAGTAATTCCGGCTCCAGTCGCTACCATACCGACGAGTATTGAGGAAGAAGAGATCATGCAGCCACAGCAACCTTCCCATGGGACTCAAGTGGAACTTGGGGAAGATCATCCTTCACCAACTCCTTCAGTACCCGCCCCTTCTGCATCTCCCGCGGCTGTTACTTCTGCGGCCGAGCTGTCCTCCAACGGCTATATTGTTTACGCACAGAATGACGTGATTGTTGACGCCACGGTGTACCCGACGGGGTTTCGGATCTTAGTGAAAGCTCCAGGTTCCCCGGGTGGTAAAATCGCCACGAGGTTCGTGTACGAGTCGGTCGCTTCAAATCTGGGGACACATCCAGAGGTGATAAAAGTTTACTGTAAAGGCAAGCGCATTCGCTTTGGGGAGACAATAGACTATGAGATAGGCGAGTTACAAGCAAAAGGGCGTCTTTGGGTGGATGTACACTTCAATGAAGATAAAATGCCACCTCATCTTCAGAAGCTCAGGAAGGACGACAATGTCGTACGGTGCTTGCAGTTACGCTCACGGCCAGATGACATTTCTCCGGCTGACCTTGTTGCCGCCCGTAAACGCGGATTAACCTTTGATGAGGCCATCAATGAATTCCGGCAGAGAAACAAGAGCAAAGACATTGTTTCGGTGGTGCTTCTGCACGAACCAACCGGGACTCGCATGCCCTTTCTGGGAGGTTATCGCCTTAAGAAGGATCCCTCGCGTGTCTTTCTTCACGCGTCAACACAGCTGAGAGCACCTGGAGATACAAGTCTTGAGGATCTGCAGTACGGCCCCCTTCCACGTGATGGCGTTTCGCGGAGGACACAAACATATGGTGTTTCACGGAGCTGCCAGACACTGCGGGAGTGTAGCACACAGACAGCGCGGCCCGATTACGAGGCGGATGATAATTATGATGAAATTGTCATTGCAAGAAGGTACTTTTCTTCGGTGCAGTTGCTTGCGTTGCAAACGGAAAAGGCGATAATAATGCAGAAGATGTATAGAAAATGGAAGGCGCGCCAGGTATACCGCGAGCTTTTTGCCGCACGACAGGCCTTCTTGGAAAGAGCTGCCGCACAGGCCGCAGCGGAAGAGGCTGAAAAGAAACTTCGCGAAGAGTTTGAACGCAGACGTCGTGCGACCCCACGCACGGCCGATGATTTTTCTACGCTTCGTCGTGAGTTGGAGGCGTGGCGGGCGGCTGAGACAACGCGCATCCTCACAGACAGAACACTTAGCGAGGTGGCAAAGCGTGCTGCGCTTACAGAACTCACAAAGAGGGAGCTGCATCTTCTTCAGGAACTTGAAACACTTCGTCGTGGGGTTGTGCAAAACCGCCGCGCACGCCGTTTTGAGGATATTCTGTCTCTCATGACAGCCCCCAAACAGTGTGGAATAGTCTCTGTCACCACACGGGCTGCGGAGCGTGCGCGCGAATTACGGGAGTTATATGTGGCATTGACGGAGACACCATCCTCCGTTGAAGCCCGCCTTGACGTGCTGTTGCACATCAAGTGGACTGTGAAGGAATTTGACTCGCCGTTAACAAAACAGATAGTGGAACTTGTGGATCGTGAGTCAGACTTGTTGCAACGTGGCCGTACAGCGTGTTCACTTAAAGGGCTGCGTACGCGTCTAGAGCATTTGTTTAAACGCTTCATTGCCACGCCGGAGTACAACCCGGCCGTGGACGAAGTGGTAAAGGGCCCAACATTTGGAGCAGATGAGAATGGCGAGGCGGCTTCCATGGTGGCGGCACGAAGGCGCCTCAAGCCGTCTAACGCGGTATAGCACAACCGATGATGTGGATTCATGCAAAAAAAAAAAAAAAAAATTGTCATTATTTGAGAAAGGGGAGTGAAAGAAAAACACAAGAAAAAAAAAAAGAAAATAGAGAAGGGGCGCAGGGATTCCGCTTTTGGGGGCGATGCGAGTCATTGGGATGTATTTTATTTTCGGAGACCAGTTTTGCGTACGCCACCATGTTCCATACTTTTTACTCCCTTTTGGTTCATCTCTTGAAATATGTAGAAAACAGCAGCAAAAAACAAAATGAGGAGAATGAGAGTAGAGGTTTACCTTGTTTTCCTTTAACTGCATGCCTTTTGTTTTGTTTTTGTTTTTGTATGTGCGTGTATTCCTTTATTGGTATTTTGCGGAATTTAGGGGCGGGAAAAGGAATTGACCATTGAAAAAATGCCTCTTCCCCCCCCCCCCCCCCTTTTGCAGTTGATGGGCATCACAGTTTGGGAGGTAAAGAAGGATGCAGTTTTTCAATTGTATAAGTCTCTCGAAAAAGAAAAAAAAATGCGCACCGCAATGATATCCTCCTAATGCCTCACTCATTCTGTCTTGCAGTGGACATAGGCTGTGGGGGCACCAACCCTTCATTTTTTCCCATTGCGTAAAAGATGGCAATTGGAACCGGCATGGCAAGACGCAAAACGGGGATATCGTCATCCTTTTGGGACGTCGTGTGGGTGTTACTTGACGGGTGCGGGGGACTCAAAATTTCCGCACTCGGAGAGAAGATTTCCCTTTTCTTTCTCCTATTTGTTTTTTTTTTTTTTATTCTTTCTCTACTCGGTCATTCTGTTATTTTATTTTTTTTCGGATGCGTGATGACCATTCCATTTTTCCCATCCCTTGACTCTATTCGTATCGCTCTGGCTCTTTCTTTTACCGCCCCGCTACCCCCTGCTTTACCCGTGTTTCTCTTTTTACATGAAATAAGCAAGGGAAGGGAGACAAACCGAAGGTCTGGAGGAAACAAATGAGTTTCGCTGGTCTTCAGAAACGTCTAAAAAATAAGGCGGTGGCTACTACAACCACGAATAGTACTCCTCCCTCCTCGGATGCAAAAACTGATAATATAGAGTCTTCTAGCAGCGTCTACGATGTTGCCGCTCGCGAAGCGCGTGCGAACCATGAGGAGCGCAAACGGCAGCGTTCCCCTCACGATAAGGAAAACACGGCGTACAACCCCACTATAAATGAAAGAAATGGGCCCGCCGATATGCTGTCCGACCACCCCTCCGTAGAAAAGGCAAGTTCAAAGACTCTAACAGAGACGGAATTTTTGGAGCGACGGCACTTAGCCGAGGAAGTGGTGTTGCAATGTGCAGAGGCCATGTCACGGAATATGGAGTTAGCTGCCACCTCGATAGATAAAATAGATATCAAAAAGGAATCAGAGGTGTATGACATGAGTGGCTTGCCACTGCCACTGTGTCAATTTCTTGAACAGCGCCTGCAACGTTCATCGGATGCAACTGCTATGTTGATTAGTACGTGTGAAGAGGAAGAACACAACCTTGTTTCTGCGCTGAGGAGCCCAAGCAACTTGCCCATGTTGTTTCCTCCACAGGTTGAGGACTTTGTCACCACATTGCGTACCCTCTGGCTTGCGTTGTGTTGGCATTGGGTCATGGCACTTCGGGGGAAAGAAGGGAACGAAGGGAAAGAAGTTAGCGAGAATGGGTGGTCTTACAACGTCTACTTGCTCTCACGCCATGCGCTGCCTATTACTGTGCGCAACACACGAGGACGTGATGTGGCGCTTGCCTTGCAAGCATGGCAAGAGGCATATCGTGTGCGGCAAAACATGCTTGACTTCCTCGCATATATACTCCATGATATGGGCGTGGTCTTGCGTTTTTCAGGGGATGATGCTTCAAAGGGTGACGAGAACTTGCGTATTGTGCCGCCGAAAATTGCGGACAGTATCTTTTGTATGGTGCAGCACTTACGCCGCCGGGACTTTACAACAGTTCGTCAGGCGTATGTTGAACTTACGATGGGAACAGCAAACTGGAAATTGGGACTTTTTTCAGGTGGGGAAGTACACATGCGGCGCTCCATGGAGCGCATCGAGCGTCGCCGCATTGAGCACCTTCTTCACAATGAAAGAGCCGTTCGCCTTTTGCATGTGCTGCGGGAGTTGATAGAATTCGTACAGAAAAATGAAGTCATGTTGCTTCACACCGGCATTTTTGCCAGGGAAAAGTCGATGAAGGAGCACAGCCCATGATAACAGTTGATGAAGTGAGCCCGTCATTGCAACTCCCACTTTTTTTTTCTTACTTTAATTGAAGCACATGTAATAAATTTGCTGATTTCCTCTGGCTGCACCAAGTTCTTTTTTTTTTTTTTGCTTCTTGTTTAAGTTTTGTGCGCACAGAGAGGCCGAAAGGAAAAAAACTGGAAAGGGGAAATTGGCGCTGCTCCGTCCCTAGGCTCTGATAAACACGCAAAATACACCTTTTTTTTTGTGTGTGTGTGTTGCGGCGTCTCTCTTTTGCCTCGATGAATGTCAACATACAGGCCCTCCATCCGAGCCTGCAACGGTACCTTCCCGGCCATCTACCGAAGCGGCAGAGGCGGCTTTACACGGGGAAAACAAACAGCAAGAAGTTTCAGGTTGCGCACTTGGCCGATGTGGAAACCGAGGTGGCGCAGCGCCTCCCGCTGCCAGGCAGGCTTGCGCAATCCTTGTTGTTCTCGCCCACCGTGACACGTGCCGTCGTCGTCGATGAGACGACCGACCAAGTTGGGATCGGTGACTCCTTTGGCACCCACCCACGGAATGATAATACTTCAATTCCGTGGGCTTCTGTCAGCGACAAAAAAGACAGCAAAGCAGTGCAGAACAGAGAAACTGCCACCTCCCTTCTGGCAGTAAAGGCCACAGGCACGGAACAACGTTTCAATAAGGAGACATTTTACTTTGGATGCCCAACACTGGGTGGGGCGGGGCAATTGGAGTATAACGACCCCAGTGATCCGCACGGACGCAATCACATAGTCAGTGCATGGAATACACGACACCACTTCTTGCCAGCCATTTGGTTCTCGAGGGCAACGCAACATCCAGCAGTCGCAGACGCGATGATTCAAGGTAGCAACCCTTTGACTACAAACATGAAAAGCGAAGGGCCACACAAAAACACAAATGGCTACGAAACCCCCATAAAGGAGCTGAACGAAAAAAAACAACTTACCTCCGTCGAAGCTCAACCTCATGTACCCACCGAGTGCACACCATTGCCGAATTCCCACACATGGCCTGACACCTACAATCCACCGAACTTATACGACGTCCCTCCACCCAAGCTCCGATATCAGCTCACAGATTACCACTCAACGTTTCACCATACCAAAGGTGAGCCAAATTCATTCATGTACATAAGTGAAAAAGAACGATTTCGGTCAACAAAAGAGATGCCACTTTCAACACCCACGAACACTGCAATATACACATATGGAAGGCGCCGATACCCGACAAAAGACAATGAAAAGCAAAATAAATAAAAAAGAATTACAATACAACAAGATAATATACTACAATCCATTTTATGTAAATTAAACAGTTCAATTAAAAACCAAACACCCACCAAATGAATTAATTAACAACCACAAATCATAAAACAAAAGCAATAATAATAAAATTACACAAACGAACTCTTCATCCCCTTATTTACAAAACACAAACAAAAAAAAATCAAAAAAAAAGAAAAGAAACCGAACAAACCACATTTTATCACTATTTGTTTTTTGTTTTTCGCAGACAAGGATGGCAACCCCGAAGCAGGCAGCGAAGAAGGCGTCCAAGAAGCACAGCGGCGGCCGCTCCGCGAAGGCCGGTCTGATCTTCCCCGTGGGCCGTGTGGGCTCGCTGCTGCGCCGCGGCCAGTATGCCCGCCGCATCGGCGCGTCGGGCGCTGTGTACATGGCGGCGGTGCTGGAGTACCTGACAGCCGAGCTGCTGGAGCTGTCCGTGAAGGCGGCGAGCCAGCAGGCAAAGAAGCCGAAGCGCCTGACACCCCGCACGGTGACGCTTGCCGTGCGCCACGACGACGACCTCGGCATGCTCCTGAAGGATGTGACGCTGTCGCGTGGTGGTGTGATGCCGAGCCTGAACAAGGCGCTGGCGAAGAAGCACAAGAGCAGCAAGAAGGCGAGGGCGACGCCCAGCGCTTAGAGCGGCCTTCAGGCCAGGCGCAGGGAGGGGGCGCAACATGTTAGATGCACCTGGGTGGCCGTCGTCGCTGAGCCACGGTGACCCACACGTAGCCCTATAGAATAGGATTGGTTTGTTGTTGTTTTCTTTTCGTTTTCTACTGCCTCTCTCCCAACTGTTGTGTAGGTCTCTGCGGCGCCTCGGCATCGGTGCTTGGCCGCATTGTGGCGTGCCGTGCGCTTTTTCCTCTGCTTTGGCCGCAGGTCTCCTGCCCCCGCCCTTCTCTCCTTCCTTTGTTTCCCAAGATCAAAGCCAAGCCAAGGAACCCAACCACACTTTATTTGTTTTTTGTTTTTTGTTTTTCGCAGACAAGGATGGCAACCCCGAAGCAGGCAGCGAAGAAGGCGTCCAAGAAGCACAGCGGCGGCCGCTCCGCGAAGGCCGGTCTGATCTTCCCCGTGGGCCGTGTGGGCTCGCTGCTGCGCCGCGGCCAGTATGCCCGCCGCATCGGCGCGTCGGGCGCTGTGTACATGGCGGCGGTGCTGGAGTACCTGACAGCCGAGCTGCTGGAGCTGTCCGTGAAGGCGGCGAGCCAGCAGGCAAAGAAGCCGAAGCGCCTGACACCCCGCACGGTGACGCTTGCCGTGCGCCACGACGACGACCTCGGCATGCTCCTGAAGGATGTGACGCTGTCGCGTGGTGGTGTGATGCCGAGCCTGAACAAGGCGCTGGCGGAGAAGCACAAGAGCAGCAAGAAGGCGAGGGCGACGCCCAGCGCTTAGAGCGGCCTTCAGGCCAGGCGCAGGGAGGGGGCGCAACATGTTAGATGCACCTGGGTGGCCGTCGTCGCTGAGCCACGGTGACCCACACGTAGCCCTATAGAATAGGATTGGTTTGTTGTTTTTTCGTTTTCTACTGCCTCTCTCCCAACTGTTGTAGGGGCTTGTGAAGAGAATGATCGCGGGAGAGCTGGCTAACTTAATGTGTATATCCTGATAGATCGAGTACATTTCTTTATGGTACTTTTCTACCGTATGAATTTTTGGGAAGAAAACGACTTTAAGGATTGGGGAACCGATAGAGGCCAGATAATTTTTTATTTTTATTTTGCCATTCCACCCAGCCCCTCGATTCCCACCTCGCGGCGGGGTCTTGTGGTTGGAGGACCCCAAAGTCTGCCACTTCGTAAGTAATAATATTTCAGATCTGAGTACAAAAGACCACGTGAGTAGTCAACAGAATATATATATATATATTATAAGAAAAACATGAGGCAATTAACTGCCTCTGGGGTACCTCTTTTTCCTTATCTTGTTTGATTTTTATAGATAATTTTAGGATCCAGTAAGCGGCCCAGAAGATTATTCTGTAGGTCTCCGCGGCGTCTCGGCATCGGTGCTTGGCCGCATTGTGGCGTGCCGTGCGCTTTTTCCTCTGCTTTGGCCGCAGGTCTCCTGCCCCCGCCCTTCTCTCCTCCCTTTGTTTCCCAAGATCAAAGCCAAGCCAAGGAACCCAACCATACTTTATTACTATTTGTTTTTTTTTTTTCGCAGACAAGGATGGCAACCCCGAAGCAGGCAGCGAAGAAGGCGTCCAAGAAGCACAGCGGCGGCCGCTCCGCGAAGGCCGGTCTGATCTTCCCCGTGGGCCGTGTGGGCTCGCTGCTGCGCCGCGGCCAGTATGCCCGCCGCATCGGCGCGTCGGGCGCTGTGTACATGGCGGCGGTGCTGGAGTACCTGACAGCCGAGCTGCTGGAGCTGTCCGTGAAGGCGGCGAGCCAGCAGGCAAAGAAGCCGAAGCGCCTGACACCCCGCACGGTGACGCTTGCCGTGCGCCACGACGACGACCTCGGCATGCTCCTGAAGGATGTGACGCTGTCGCGTGGTGGTGTGATGCCGAGCCTGAACAAGGCGCTGGCGAAGAAGCACAAGAGCAGCAAGAAGGCGAGGGCGACGCCCAGCGCTTAGAGCGGCCTTCAGGCCAGGCGCAGGGAGGGGGCGCAACATGTTAGATGCACCTGGGTGGCCGTCGTCGCTGAGCCACGGTGACCCACACGTAGCCCTATAGAATAGGATTGGTTTGTTGTTTTCTTTTCGTTTTCTACTGCCTCTCTCCCAACTGTTGTGTAGGTCTCTGCGGCGCCTCGGCATCGGTGCTTGGCCGCATTGTGGCGTGCCGTGCGCTTTTTCCTCTGCTTTGGCCGCAGGTCTCCTGCCCCCGCCCTTCTCTCCTCCCTTTGTTTCCCAAGATCAAAGCCAAGCCAAGGAACCCAACCATACTTTATTTGTATTTTTTTTTTGTTTTTCGCAGACAAGGATGGCAACCCCGAAGCAGGCAGCGAAGAAGGCGTCCAAGAAGCACAGCGGCGGCCGCTCCGCGAAGGCCGGTCTGATCTTCCCCGTGGGCCGTGTGGGCTCGCTGCTGCGCCGCGGCCAGTATGCCCGCCGCATCGGCGCGTCGGGCGCTGTGTACATGGCGGCGGTGCTGGAGTACCTGACAGCCGAGCTGCTGGAGCTGTCCGTGAAGGCGGCGAGCCAGCAGGCAAAGAAGCCGAAGCGCCTGACACCCCGCACGGTGACGCTTGCCGTGCGCCACGACGACGACCTCGGCATGCTCCTGAAGGATGTGACGCTGTCGCGTGGTGGTGTGATGCCGAGCCTGAACAAGGCGCTGGCGAAGAAGCACAAGAGCAGCAAGAAGGCGAGGGCGACGCCCAGCGCTTAGAGCGGCCTTCAGGCCAGGCGCAGGGAGGGGGCGCAACATGTTAGATGCACCTGGGTGGCCGTCGTCGCTGAGCCACGGTGACCCACACGTAGCCCTATAGAATAGGATTGGTTTGTTGTTGTTTTCTTTTCGTTTTCTACTGCCTCTCTCCCAACTGTTGTGTAGGTCTCTGCGGCGCCTCGGCATCGGTGCTTGGCCGCATTGTGGCGTGCCGTGCGCTTTTTCCTCTGCTTTGGCCGCAGGTCTCCTGCCCCCGCCCTTCTCTCCTCCCTTTGTTTCCCAAGATCAAAGCCAAGCCAAGGAACCCAACCACACTTTATTACTATTTGTTTTTTGTTTTTCGCAGACAAGGATGGCAACCCCGAAGCAGGCAGCGAAGAAGGCGTCCAAGAAGCACAGCGGCGGCCGCTCCGCGAAGGCCGGTCTGATCTTCCCCGTGGGCCGTGTGGGCTCGCTGCTGCGCCGCGGCCAGTATGCCCGCCGCATCGGCGCGTCGGGCGCTGTGTACATGGCGGCGGTGCTGGAGTACCTGACAGCCGAGCTGCTGGAGCTGTCCGTGAAGGCGGCGACCCAGCAGGCAAAGAAGCCGAAGCGCCTGACACCCCGCACGGTGACGCTTGCCGTGCGCCACGACGACGACCTCGGCATGCTCCTGAAGGATGTGACGCTGTCGCGTGGTGGTGTGATGCCGAGCCTGAACAAGGCGCTGGCGAAGAAGCACAAGAGCAGCAAGAAGGCGAGGGCGACGCCCAGCGCTTAGAGCGGCCTTCAGGCCATGCGCATATAAAGTCCCGCAGTGTAGTGTTTCTTTTTGTTCGGTTTGTGTGAGGTATTTGTTCTTGTGTGTTTGTGTGGGAATATTATTTTTTTTTTATTATTTCTTTTGAGGTTGTGTTTTTTATTCATCTATTGTTGTTGTTTAGTTTGGTTGGAATTGTCGCGATTAGGGGCTTTTGTTGTTGTTGTTGTTGTTTTTGTGTTGTTTTAGTTCTTTCTATTGTGCTCTCTGTAGTGGAGTTTCGGAGGTGATGCTGAAGGAAACTGTGGTGTCTTTTATGCCGATGGATTATGGGTTTCTTGATAGTATCATGTTCTCATTTTCCTTAGTGCTGGAACGTATTTTGTCGATGGCGATGTCACGTGAGGTGCTGTTGGTGTTCCTTTTGCTTGTATGTACCGCTCTTCGTGTGCTTGTTCCTGAATTGTCCCGAGTGGCAAAGGAGAAATTTTTTTTTTTTTCGCGTGTCTATTTGGTACGCCGTGTCACGGCACACTTGTGTATGGCGTCGGTTGGGATTTTGTCGGATCGTAATGCGCTTCTGCAGAATGCTATTTTTTATTTTCTTTACCACAAATTTTGGCGAACATCACTGCCGTCCTCCGTGTGGAAGAATAAGAAGTCACTGCTTTTGTTGATGGATCCCCTGCGTCATTCATGGGAGGAGCGATATGACTCTCCTTTTCGGGTGGATTTTTTTGGCGACGCTGATGATGGGTTTCGTGAAGATGTGAATTGGCGGAGCCAAAGGGAGTTTGCGCGTTATTTGTTGGTGCGGGTGCCGGTGGAAGGTTCGTGGGTGCCAGTAAGCGAGGATGGTGTGGAGTTGACGTATGATCGGCAGCGAGAAAAAATTGATGGCAATGAAGGTGTGCAGCGTACAATATTATTGCGTGCCGTAGGGGATTCTGATGCTGATGAGCGGATTAAACGTTTTTTGCAGGCTGCGCTGGATTTCTATGTAGGGATGCTGCCAAGCGTCTTGAATTATGGCAGAGTCTTCCTTCAAATGCATGCGCCGCCGAGCGAACGGGAAAGCGAAGGTCGTGTGTTCTTCAAGCGGTATCCTCTTGTCCAACACAAAACGTTTGACACCTTGTTTTTTCCGGAGAAGCGTAAAATCTTGAAGATGGTGGATGACTTTTTGGCAAAGAGGGGACGTTTTGCGACGGAAGGGTTCCCTGGGAAACTCGGATTTCTTCTGTACGGTCCGCCTGGCACGGGAAAAACGTCGTTTGTAAAAGCACTCGCCGCGTACACGGGACGTCACATTGTCTCTGTGAATTTGGCATTTCTTCGATCAAATCAGGAACTTTATGACATCTTTCTCAGTCGCGAGTTTTACTGCGTTGGGGATACCAACCCCACTTATTTTGGAGTTGGGGATGTCATCTTTCTCCTTGACGACGTGGACACGTCGAGCTCAATGGTGCGCTCGCGTGTGCGGAAAAGGACTGTGCGCATGCATCGCGCCGCAACGCTTGAGTCCTGTTGGAACTCTACCGCAATTCCATTCGGTGGTGATGCTGACAAAAGGGACGACACGGAAATTGTCGCCGCCGACGACAGCGACGAGGAAGACGGGGACAAAAGTACCGACGAAGAGAACGAAGACAGTGAGGGTGGCGGGGTGGCCTCTCAGCAACAAATAACTCTTGTCAACCAGATCTTGCGTAGCGTCTTGGAGTCTCAGCGCCCCGGCGAATCCCATGCATCCTTGGGGGATAATTCTGCTGACAATGAGAAGACAGTAGATTTCTCGTTTTTAAAGCTGCTGCAATCCACGGAGTCAGCAAACCTCTCAGGGCTTTTGAATGTGCTTGATGGCGCCGTCGATACTCCTGGTCGCATTGTGGTGATGATCACAAACCACCCGGAGCGGCTTGACCCGGCGCTGGTGCGGCCTGGGCGCTTCAGCCTCAAACTGCGCATGGACTACATACAGCTGCCTGCGTTGCTGGACATGTTGGGACTGCACTTTGGGTCCGTCCGCCCTGCTGATGGGGGCGACACGAATGAGAAGAAGTCAGAAAAGTTGAGTGCGAACGAAGCTTCTGGAGCAAAGGCGCTCCCATTACCCAAGCTGAGTGATGCCGAGGCGGAACGTGTGCGGCAGGCCATTGCTGCAATTCAAGAGAAGAAAAAACAAGCTGGGGGTGATTTTTTGGGCCTTACCATTTCCCCCGCAGAGATTGAGTCGATGTGTACGGTGTGTAACTCACTAGACGAGTTTATTGGCCTTCTCGACTCACGCTTTAATGAAAAAGAATAGGGGATAGAAGAGTAATGTCTCTACCAGGAATTTGCTCTTCCTTCAAATTCTTGGGTTTAACTCGTCTTTTTGTTTTCTTCTGTGCCTCAACGTCTTTTTTCCCCCTTTTTTGTCTGTTTTTGTGTTTAAAAGCATATGTATGTTGTTGTTGTTTTGGGGGGCGAAAATTTGTGTTGGTTTCTGCCCATTCGAGCCTCTAATGTCTCATGGCTACTCAATGACGTTCCCTCTCATTATTTGTTTATCCAACCACCACTATTTCCTGTATTTGTTATGATGCCAAGGAACCACACATGGCTGCAACAAGGCGCATATCAGCCGCCGTTATTGCGACAGCAGGGTTGCTATTTGGTGGCGGAGGCGTTTTTGTTGCTTATAATTGGTGGCGCAATCCAGTAAGTGCGAAAGATTGTCTTGGGCAATGCTTTGCTTTCAAAGCACTGAATCCAAAGGATCCACGTGCCCGATTTCACTTCTATGCGACGCGCAATGCAGACGGGAGTGAGGAGTTGGACCCTGCTGGCCTTATCGCATGTTTGTGCCTTCTTGATGAGGAGAGCAGGCAGTCGCTTGAAAGTGGGGGAGGTAACCACCTCCCACCCCATGTACGTCAGCGTCTGGAGCATGTGTTTCAACTCATGGACATTAACCACGACAGTAGCTTCTCGTATGAGGAATTTTGTATACTTCTCACTCTTCTTTCAGCGCGTCGCGAACATCTAGAGATGGCCTTTGGGGTCTTTGACAGGGACGAGGATGGCCGTCTTTCGGGGCATGATTTTTTGTACATGCTGAACGCGTTGATGGTGGACCCTGCTGTGCAGTTTTTTAATGTGCAGCCCTCACTAACGCGACAGCAGCGCATGACATACTCGACCCCTGGAGCCTCACCCACACCCATCACAGACGGCTCAGGGAATTCAAAAAAAAAGCATATGAGCGCCTCAGCCGCTGTGCGGGATGCACTTTTGGCCTCCCCGCTTGCCGAACACTTCTTTGGAACGCATGGTGAGAAATTTATCTCGTTTGATGAGTTCTGGTCAATGCTCCGTGAGATTCGACGGGAAGTTTGGACGCTGGAGTTTGGCTTGCACGACCCAAGAAACACCGGTTTCATTACTTTGCAGGACCTTCAACAAATTATCTTTCGCCGTAACAGTAATGAAATTCCCATGGGTGTGATGGAAAAACACTTCTCCCATGTAGAGGGGAATCCCGACGAAAGGACGATGAAATGCGTAAAGAAGGAATTTGTATCTTTTGAGTTCTACCTGAAGGTGTTTGATTTTCTCTCTGAGTGCGACGCGGTGGCTCATGGGATGAATCTCCTTCTAAGGGCGAAGCTTCCAGAGGTCTTAACCACACCTCTTGAGCAGCAGCAGCGGCAGCCACCGGAGTCTAAAACGAGGATGTTGGATACCTCTCTTTTAAATAGGGACGAGTATGAAGTTGATAGTGCGGAGTTTTATCGCGTGCTTGAAGCGTGCAAAGGACTTTCTCATTTAACAAGGGAGGATGCCGATTGCCTGGTGCGGATTTTCGATTTGGATAGATCGGGGAAGTTGTCACCAATCGAGTTTGCGCATGCGTGTGAGCTACGTGCTAAATTCTTCACTTCACGAGAGCCACGATTTAATGAACCTCAACAGAATGTGGTGCAGCGGTTCATGACGTGTATGCAGCAGCTGAAGTAGTCGAACGCATTCGCGGTGGTTTTTATTTTCAGGCTCACGGAATGATCGTCGATCATGTTTTTTATGTTGTTATTCTTGTTGTCTCATTTCTCCCTTACTCACACACACTTTCTTTTTGTTGGGAGTGGGGGGAGGATTTTCTTTGCTCTACGTTATGTGTATGTGTGTATGTACACCTGTTATGTATGTTTGTTTGTTTAATATGTGATCTGGTGAAAAGAAGGTGGGGGGTGGAGTTTGTCATGTGTGATAGCGCCGTATTTTGTGTATTTCTTTTTCTTTTTTCCTTTTTTTTTTTTTTGTTTTTTGTCCTACCTCGTATTATTTGGTGTTGTTGGTTTCTGTTCTTTATATTTATATTTATTAGCGGGTGGTGGCTGCGGTAAAAAAACATTGGCGTTTGTGTTTGGGTTTGGTGGACACCCATGGCGCAGACAAGACCAACGGCACGAGCGATGCGCCACCCGACCGCCAATGACGGTCGAAGCTGCACAGACCGGCGCAGTACACTTCTTGCGGAGAGTTTCCCCGCCCTCATTGGGCCCTCGTTGCCGAGTAAGTACCGCGAACCCCGCCCCTTGGGTCGTGGCGCCTCCAGTACGGTCTGGACACTCATCGACAATGTCACGAATGAAATCGTCGTGGGCAAACTTTGCAATTTGGCGCTCATGTCGGAGAAAAATAAAAGTTTTGCCCGCTCGGAAGCAGTGAATATTTTGAGTTGCGAGCACCCAAATATTATTCGCCTCCTGGGCACATATGAGCGGAATGAGCAATTGCTGCACATACTAGAGTACGCTGACGCAGGAGACCTGCAGACACAAGTGGAGGTTCGTGCGAAACATTACTCGCGGGTAAAAAATGGAAGTGGGTCTGCATCACGCAAAGACGCTGCAGAGGCTGTGCCGTGCTACTACAAGGAGAACGAGGTCCTTGTCATTCTGGCGCAGCTTTGTCTTGCAGTGAAGTACATCCACGGAAAGAATATTATGCATCGTGATTTGAAAACGTCCAATATTTTTCTTCGAAAAAATGGGCTTATTAAGTTAGGCGACTTTGGCTTTTCGCGACAATACGGCCAAAGCCTTTCCTCCGATGTGGGGAAAACGTTCTGTGGGACACCGTACTATTTGTCTCCTGAGCTCTGGCGCCGGGAAAACTACAATCATAAGGCGGATATTTGGTCTATGGGTGTCTTGCTATATGAAGTTATGGCACTGCGGAAGCCGTTCATATCCCCGAACATGGAGAAACTGATGCAGTGTGTGCTGACAGAGGGGAGCTATGAATTGCTGCCGAGAGAGAGGTACAGTCAGGGCCTATGCGACCTCTGCTACGCCATGCTGCGCGTCAATCCACACGAGCGGCCAAACATCACAGAAATCCTTGCGACGCCCATCATGTTGAATGAAGGGCTGCAGCACCTGAAAAAAAACCTGCTGAGGCTGCGGGGCATTGAGGAGGCGGTGAAGAACCGTTTGTTGTGGGAAGTGGATTCCGTGCAACTTGCCTTTCATGTTGCGCCCACGCTTCTCAGGCCAGGGAGTATTCAAGCAGAACAGAAGGAAGCGCATTCCTCACTAAACGACGAAGGCGGTGCTGCGATGGATCCCAGTGTCGTATAGGGGGGGGAAATACACAACGGTGGAGAGAAAGAAGAAAAAAGAAACACAAAGGCGGGGTATGCGGAGAGGCAACGGCAACAAAAGGAGGCAAATCGCAAAAAGATAAGCTTCCTTTTTTTTTTTCTCTTTTTATTGTCAATTCCTTTGAGAAAAAATAATAATAATAATAATAATAATATTAATAAATCATTTATATTATTAAAAACACATTTTCTTTTTTTTTTTTTCTTTTCTTTTTTTCGACGCAGGGAAGGAGGGAGGGAGGGAGAAGGGGGGTTGCCTCTGGAGAATTGCTCTCCCTCTCTTTCTGTGTGTGTGTGTGTGTGTTTATGTGCGTAGCGAGGCCGTCAAGGAAGCAGCGAGGTGTGGATAGACACCGTCTGTCATGTCACGTGCAAAATAATAACTGCCGTGCATGATTGGAGGCGAGAAGTAAACACTTAAAAAAAAAAAAAAGAAAAAAAAAAACCGGGTTTTTGTTGTTGTTGTTGATGATACGATGGGATGCAATGTGAGTACATGCATGTATAAATAAATATATAAATATTTATATTTCTGCTGGTAAAATGCGTATATAAAAACGTGTGTCTCACCCTTTTTTTTCCTGTGCGTGTGGACTTTTGTTTTGTTTATTTGTTTGTTTTGCGGTTGTTGTTTTGTTTTGTTTTGCCTGTTTTAAAGTGCGATTCGCTACATGCACACACACACACACCAAATAAATAAATAAATAAAGTAAAAAAAACTCACTTTAGATGTGTATATTTGTCTATAAAGATGTTCTGTTTGTTGTTGTTTTTTGTTTTTTCTCTCTCTCTCTCTCTCTCTCTCTCCGGTTATACAAAAAAGGGAAGGCGTTTTGTAAATTTACGCAAAATGATTTATGAAGAAGACAATTGTGTTTTTATTTTTATTTTTATTTTTGTTTGTGTTTTTTTTTTGTTTTTTTTTTTTTTGTTTTTAGTCTGCGTATATGCGCACATGTATATTTGTGTGTATGTATGTGTTGTGGTGGCACCGCTGCTGCTGGGGGAGAGAGAGAGAGAGAGAGGGAAGGGGGACTCCAATGCGCACGGTGTACACATGTGTGGGATTTGTGATGTACGATGGATTTTCTTCTCTCTTTCTTTTTGTTTGTTTTTTTTTACGTCTGTATCTCTGCCTCTGGGAGGTGGGGAGGGGCGTGAAGTGAGAAGAAGAAGAAGGGAACAAACAACGGCCATAACATTTTTATAATAAAAGAGGCAAAAGGGAGGAAGGAAAGGGGGATATCTACACACAGATACATACATATATACAGCGGGAGGGAGAGAATTGGTGCACAGGCACGCCGGACGCATGAAAAAAAAAAAAAAAAAAAAAAGAGCAGGGTGGATTGCATCAAGTTGTGTGGGAGAATATCTACGCAGCCTCTTGTCCTTTCTTTCTTTTTCTGTTTGTGCGTTGTTGTTGTTGTTTTTGTTTTGTTTTTTTTATTCTGCGTCCATTTATCTCACTCATTTATTGGGCTAAGGCAACAGCAAAGGAAGGAAGGGGAGGGAGGAAGGGAGGAGGGGACGGAAAATAGTTGGGAATGGCGTCAGAGACATCGGCGGTGTGCGTGGCGGTGCGTGTGCGGCCGCTGAATGCACGTGAGTCGCCCCTTGAATGTACGGTGACGGTCCTCAACGATCACACCATCACTCTGACAGATGTTAGCAATGCCACGATGGGCGCCAGTAGCAGCAATACCGGGCAGCAGCATGTCTTTGCATTCGACAAGATCTTTTGGAGTGTGCCGCCGCATGTTTTGCCGCTTTTTCCTTCCGCGGTGGCACCGCCAACCTTCACGCCGCGTTCATCCATCGGAGAGACTGCGACTTCAACTAACGTGTCCCGTAGTGCTTCTTTGTTTGGTGCACCCTCTGCGTGCAGCAGAACCAACAGTTATATTGGCAGTCTTCATGAACCAATTTCTGCCACGACGTCCCGGGTGCCATTTAGCGGTTTACCGTGTTTTGCCAACGTGCCAGCCTACGACGACCAGGCCTCCGTGTATGCCTTCATTGGCCCGCGCATGTATGAGTCGGTTATGACAGGTTACAACTCATGCCTCTTTGCCTACGGACAGACGGGAAGTGGCAAGACACACAGTCTGCTGGGGCCACCTGAATATGTCTCTCTGCGTTCGGAAGAGCGCGGAATTATGCCGCGCCTCTGTGAAGACCTCTTTGAGTTGATGCGAAAAGAGCGTGAGGAGGACGAGTCCATCTCTTATAATGTGGAGTGTAGTTTTTTAGAGATTTACTGTGAACGGGTCCACGACTTGCTGTTCCACGGCGGTGGTGGGGGGCGAGACACGGCAGCCGCAGCAGGAGGGGCCGGGGCCGCCCCGTTGCAGTCGCCATCCGCTTCATCGCAATCGTCTTTGCGGATCCGGCAGCACCCGTCACGTGGGCCGTACGTGGAGGGTCTCTCGCTTGTGAAGGTTCGGGATGCGGAGGGTGTCATGAAACAACTGATGAGCGGTCTGCGTGAACGCGCGACGGCGGAGACGAGAATGAATGAATACAGTAGTCGCAGCCATGCGATATTGCAACTGCACATCACGCGCGTGGCAGTCGTAAGAGAGGAGGCGGCGGTGGTGACAAAGACGCGGGTCTGCAAAGTCAACATGGTTGACCTCGCGGGAAGTGAACGGGTATCGCAGTCTGGTGTCACAGGTGACCGCTTCGAGGAGGCCCGTAACATCAACTTGTCTCTCACCACACTCGGACGTGTTATTCTGCAGCTGTCGGAAAAACAATCTGGTAAACATGTCATTCCCGCATACCGCGATAGTGTCCTCACCTGGCTGCTATCCGATAGTTTGGGTGGAAACAGCAAAACGATCATGCTTGCCACCATTGCGCCCAGTGCGTACTGTTACCAACAGACAATTAACACACTTCGGTTTGCGGGGGTGACAAAGAAGGTGATCAACGTTGCCACAGTCAACGAGGACCACCACTTTCAAAAACTTATTGCGGCAATGCGGCAGCAAATTGTGAAGTTGACACTGCAGTTAGAGAAGGGGAAAGCGGCAGAGGTACACCGCGAGGAAATTCAGGCGTTCCGTCGTGAAAGGGATGAACTTGAGGCACAGATAGATTCCATGCGGGCGACAATGTCGACGATGGTGCCAGCAACGGAGGTGGCAACGCTTCAGCGACGCATTACGGATCTTGAGGAGGACAATGCGCAGCTTCAAAAGGAAAAGAATCAGGTCCAACGACAACTTGTCTCCACCACAACGGCACTTCGTGAAGAATTGGCCCAAAAACGAGGGGAAATTATGAAACTACATGAAGCACTTCTGCGTAAAGATGGCGAGCTGCAAGAATCGCTCCGGCGTTACCGTGAGGAGACGGTGAGGCGTGAGACGTCTTCACAACAACTAGAGCAGCAACAGCATGTAGCGAGTAGTTCTGTTGTTGATACAAGAGAGGGAGTTGGCCCGAGTCAGTCACCGCCCGCTGCATGGAAAGAGAACGTTGGTTCTAGTGGATTTGAAGCACCACCGCCACTTGTCATTGCAGGGCGGTCACTCCGTCACGAGGAGGAGTTAGAACGTCGTGTCGGTGTACTCACAAAGGAGGTGAAGGCTCAACAGGAGCGCGCTGAGGAAGCGGAAAAGGCAAAGAGTAGTCTACAGGAAAAAATGAAGATGCTGCAACAGGAGCAAGACGCCATGGCACAGTTGTTGGAAGAGACGCAGCAGCGCTTTGCGGAGAAAGCGCATGCGCTCGATATGGCGCAGTCCGACTTGGCGGCTACGCGGACGATGCTGCGTGCGGAGCGTGGCGCGAATTCGGCGGCGGAGGGGAAGAACGGACTTTTCGCGCAGCTGGAGAACGTTCGCGCGGAGTATTTAAGCGAGAAGAAGACAAACATCGATCTGCTCATGCGTGTGTCACGGGTTGAGCAGCAACTGTCGAAGCTTAAAAAGGATTCGGCGACAAAGACACGGGACATTAATGAGCTTGAACAACTTCTTCTTGAAGAGACGGAAACGTCAGAGCGGTATTATATTTGGCTGCGCTACTCCCAGGATGTGCTCAGTATTTTATCATCATTTCTCCGCAGGGCCCTCTCCGCACGTGGAAAGCGTATCACCGCACTCAAAGGCAAAATGAACAGTAGTGTGGGCAGTCACGCTGGTGATAGTGTTGATCTCGCTGGTATTTTGTGGGAACAAGCGGTATGGGATTGTGCACGTGGTGAGGCGTATAGCCGTGCGCTGCTGGAACAGGAACGCCTCAACGCAATGATAGAGATGCTCGGCCAAAAGAAAGTCTTGTATGAAATTAGCTCCGGAGCAGCGAAGGATGAGCTTATGACGCTACGTGCTCTGGCCGCGGAGGCCGCAGAAGAGCCGCAGCGACTACGGCGTAAAGTGAAGTCTTTGGAGTTGCTCATTGAAAAGGCTTCAGAGGAGCGGCTCAATATGCAGGTGACAATTCAGAATAGTGAGAGCGCGCGCGAACGACTCTCACGGCAGGTGGAAGAACTGACAAACCAGCTGGAACAACTGCAGCAGAATAACAATTCGCTTATTGAGAAGATTGTAGAGGAGCATTCGTCGCGGAATATGCTTGGTACATGCAGCGTGGTGAGCGGCGGTGGCAGCACGTCTCAAGAAGACGAGCTGCAAGAGGCAGAGGACACGGGAAAGCGGCAATTTCAGCAGCTGCAGCGGCGTCTGGAGAAACAGGTGGCGCAGTATCAAGAAGAGCTGGGACTGCTGCACGCGCAACTGGAGAAGGAGCGACACGACAAGGCAGAGAAGAGACATTCCATGCAGCGGGAGAGGGATGAGTTTACGCAGGAGTTAAGGCGCGTGCGGAATGAGTGCAAGGCGTCCATAAGTGAGAGCGCACAGATTGTGAGGGACTATGAAATACGTATAAAGGAATTACAGGAGATGATCACAACCCTGCGCTCAGCACTGGAAGAGGAATGCAACAACGCCGACAAGGCAAAAGACGAGATGCTGCGGGCGGGAATGGAGAAACGGGAAACATTAATGGAACTGCGTCGCGTGATTGCCTCGCGGGATGCGCTTGAAATGAGGCGAAATGACGATGAAAAGCTCTTTAATGAGTTGCGTACTCAGGTGCGGGAGTTGCAATTGGCGTACTACAAGCTGGAGCAACAACTGGCTGGGGTGAAAACGCATACCCCCGATGTTTATATCACCATTGACCGCAGCTTTGGCACCGACGACGGGGAAAACAGTTGGATGTTGAAGGCGCAGCGTGAGAAGGAGGTGCTGGAACGACAGAAGCGAAGTGTGCAGCGCATCAATAATGAATTGCTGGCGACGGTGCGGCAGCGCAATGAATCCTTGCGGGCGGTACACCGACAAATCACGAAGATTCAGCGCGGCGGTGTGTCGCCAGATATGGCAGAAATGGAAATTGGTGATGATAATAGCCCGCTTGGAGCGCAGCTGAAGTTTGAGTAGTCTGTGCCATGTCGACTCCCCATTGTGAGGGGGAGAGGTAGGGATCAATCAATAGAATTGGTTTGACATGAAGTAGAAGGAATATGGGAGGAGGAGGAGGAGGAGGAGCAGAGAATGTCCTGCTGTTTATTTGTGTGTATTTGTTGTTGTTGTTGTTTTTTAAATATGAAATACGAAGACGAATAAAAAGATGGACGAAAGGAAGAGCCAGCAAGAAAGGAATATGTTAAGTGGGCATCCTTCCACGCACACACGTCAATGTTACACTCGACCAATTACACAGGAAAAGAGGAAGTAAGAAGAAGGAAAGAAACAAAAGAAGAAGAAAAGGAGGAGAAGGAGGGGGAGGAGTATTACGTTTAAGAATTACATCTGCAATGCGAGTAGCGTCAGTTATATATTATTGATATATTATTTGTGTGGTTGTATCCTTTTCTTTTTTTTCTTCTTCTTCTTCTTTTGTTTCTATCTTCTCTTCTCTTGGCGTATTATATCTGCGTTTGTTTTTGTTGTTCTTCTGCTTTTTGATCCGTTTTGAGTAGAGAGAGAGAGAGAGAGTGTGTGTGCTTGCGTGTGTATGCATGCATGCACGTGTATGTGTGGGGGGAGTATGGAAGGGAATTATACGTGTGTGTGTGTGTTTGTGTGTGTTTTTGTCTTCAGTCATGTGAGGATGTTTTGTTTTTGTTTTTCACGGCTTCTTCAGTTGCGTGGATTTTCCACTTAATTTCCTTCTCTGTTTTCCGCGTTGTTTGCATTGGACGAATTGTGGCCATTTGAAAGTAAAAAAAAAAAAAAAAAAAAAAACACGCAAAGGATTTTCCTTTTTTTTTTTTTTTTCTTCTCCTTCTCCTTCTCTGTGTCTTTTGTTGTATGGGTGTTTTTGCTCCTTGTCCATGCGTGCATATTTGTGTGCATTTGCTTCTTTGATTTCGTTTTTTGTTGTTGTCGTTGCTGCTCATGTGTGCGTACATGCACGGACCATATTTCCTGTACATTTCTCTTTCTTGTGTGTGTGTTTGTTAGTGGTTTTATTCACCTGCATGTAATCTCTTTTGTGGGGTTTTGTATGCCTTGGTGATTTAGCTTACTGAATGTTTTCTCTGCATAGTGTTTTGCTTATTGCACTCGATGTGGTAAAAGGACCGTACTTGCATTGTCATGCCCCTTTGAACCCTTTTTTGCCTGTCGCACAGGAGCCTACATCATCCACGCCTGCCAACACCACCACCCACTCGCGTGACAACAACAAAAACAGCCACGAGAAGGAAAACATGATTTGTTCTGGCGATTCAGGCAGCAAGCGCAAGATGAGGCATGATAGTAGTTGTAAATGCGATGCATCATCGTACAGGACAACCTCAGCGGATAGACTTGGGGGCTTTAGTGATGTATTTGTGCCGAGGTCAGAGTTTTGCCGTCGTGTCATGTATCTTATGGAGGCGGAGTCTGGTCTCTTGTATCTCTTTTACCCGGAGGAAATTGCAGGGTTGCACTATCAGCGTAAGACGCTGCGGTACACGTTGTGCTTTGTCTTTCGTGTAGATGTGGAGCTTGTCACGCCAAGCTTGAGTCTGACAGAGCGGCTCATACAACCGTACAGTGTTGTACTGACCGGCATCATGGAGGAGCTGCGGAAAACAGAGGTGGCATATGGTTACATCTCCATGGGCCTTGCGCGAGTCACTTCCCATCATCCCTCCGTTGTTTTACCACGTCACTTTTCACGTGAGAGGGAGCCGTCAACAACGATGGCAATGACGATGACGACAGCTGATTCCGAAACCCAACCTCCACGTGTGGACGTCCATGCTGCCAGTGGCGAGAACGTTGCCGCTGCTGCTTCCGTGAACACAACGGGAGTCCCCGCTACTGTCGCTCAGGTAGCTTCGTCATCTGTCACGAATGAAGATTCGGTCCACACAAGTAGCAAGGGGACGAGCCGAGTAAATGTGTTCTTAACGCCCCTGCAGGATCCAGCATCGTTGCAGTGGACCCCGCTGGAGGAGATGATCGCGACCCTCTACGCCTGCCTCAGCCGTGAAGAACGACAGGAGACGCCAAGAATAAGACGGACTCCCAGAAAAGGGGAGACTCCAGGAGCGCATGAAAACGGGTTGCACACGACGATTAAGGACGAAGAGGAACAACAACAACAACAACAACAACAACAACAAGAGGAAGAATTGTGTCCGCCGGTGGAGGAGCGTAAGGTAACTGTGCGGCTATCCCAGACGCATTCCTATCACGTTTGCCGCATGATCCAACCGTACGTCTTACGGTATCACACACTGGATGAGGTGCCTATTCCCATTGTGGAGTACACGGCAGAGATGTTAGAGTGGGCGGACTTGGCTATTCAGGACGTCTACAAGGCAGTAGATGGCTACCGTACCATTGCAAGCATTGTGCAGCTTCTCGCGGTGGGGCATGAGCCGCCTGGAGAGGAGACACAAAAAGAATCCCGTGTCCTGTCGCCGCTGAGCAGTCCACATCCGCCGGCGTCATCCCTCGCTGCAGCGGCGTGGGCATTGTCGCCTCGTGTCAAAAATGCAGCAGGATGTTCTTTTGCGAGTCCAAATTTGCGCGGTACAAGCGCGGCACTGCCGTCCGTGATTGGTATTCTCTCCTCCACCCACGGTACCGAAACGCGCGTACCCTCTCCGCTTTCACAGGAGTCGCGCTCCGGCATGAGTCCAGTTGTGACGGTATCAAAGGGACCAACGTCATCGGTCACGTTTCTTGTACCTCACGAACGGAGTGCGGATGAGGTGGGGATAGGCAGCCATGAAGGGGGGCAGCACTGGTATGGTGAATTGGAGTTTATCGTACTGGAGGCACTGCAGCATCTTGAGTTGCACAACCACGTAAGAATTGTGCGTCCATGTCAGCTCAACAGCAAATATAATACGACAAGAGCCTTTTACTCGGTGGTAAGCAATTGGAAACATGCCTCACGTCGCATCATTGGCCAACGCATGTTACTAGTTGAGGAAGAGTTTTATCGTCTTCGAAAAAAGCAGCCGCATACGCAACAAGAGAGGCAGCTGATGCATCGAAGACGACAGCACGAGTCAAAGAGTGGAGTAAGCAGCGGATTTGGTGATTCCCCCAGTGAGACATACGCCCTGACATTACCAGCCGTATTATTAGCCAAAGCCGCGCTTGACTGGCAGGAGAAGAAGAGGGATGAAGACGAAAAAGAGGAGAAGGAGGAGGGGGATACTGGGCCGGCTCATTTGGCAGCTGTAGAACAAAGCCCGAACACTTTTTCTTGGTCAGGGGTGGTGCCTACGCCAAATGATACATTAAAAGAGACTACGATTGAATTGGAAGATGCTCCGGCCATTGGGATGGCACACAGTGAATCAGATATAAATGCTGCAGCCGCAGCGGCACTCTGTGCCATTGGCAAATTCACGAATAACACCGTGGCTAATGTTCAGTGGGAAATGCGCCGCATTCCTGGGTGGTCCACTGCCTTCGCATCCTGGGAGGAGATGTGCTGCAAGGCACTGGTGGAGATTGCGTTGCTTAATGACTGGCTGGTGGAGGTCGGAAGGCCTCCCACATCCTACTCGTAGCCGCCCTTGTCAGGAAGGGGAAATGTCAACGCTTACATCAACACCTTTACGGTAACGGGTGATGAAACGGAACGAGAGGGGGATTTGTTTTGGAATTTTGGGGAAAAGATGTTTTCAACGGACGAGTCCCTAACCCAACTCCCCACCCAAAGGGGAAAAAATAAAAATAAAATAAAATAATAACGTCAGGGGAATAAGAAAGTCCCAAACAGAAATCTGCAAACACAACAGAAGGCAGGAAAAAGAGGAGGTCGGTGTTTTGTTTATTTTTAATGTTGACAAGAGTCATGTCTTTTCCATCTGCGCATGTAACATTTTATTCTCCGTATAACTTTTATGCATGTGTCGTGTTTGTTACATGCCTGGTGGAGTTTTCCCCGTATTTTTTTTTTCTTCATTCTGCTGCTCCCATCCCGACAGCATCCGGTCGTATAACATTGGATGGGATGTAAGCTTTTTTTTGTTTTATTTCTTACTTACTTTCTTGTCTTTTTTAGTTTCCTTATTCAGAGGTAGGGATGTGGTGGTTATACGTACTGACTGCTGCGGTCATCCTTTTTGCCGCGGTGAGGTTTGCCATGAGGACACGGGTGCAGGAGCAAAGGATGAATGGAGATGTGCAAGAGACGCGCCAAAAGGAAAATGCTGCGGTGGTCACCGCACGTGTTCGCCGCGCGCGAAAAGAGGATTGATACGGGGGGGTTGCGGGGATGTGGGGGTAAGGGAAGAGGTGGATGTCCCCTCACTGACAGAGTGAGGAAGAGACGGGGAAAAGTTGTGCGGGAGAATGCGAGGAGCTGGCGACCCACCAACACAGAGAGAAGAAGCGACATGCATGGAAACAGCGTGAGGATAATAAATTTGAGGCAGAAGCCTCCGCGTGATGTAATCCACTCCGCAGCGCGTGTGCCGTTGCGACCGGTGCGTATCCGGTGCGATTTTTCCGCGGCGCCTAAACTCTCAATTTAACGCATATAAAGATAGGTGTAAAAACAAAAAAAAAATTCTCTTTTGTTGTTGGTTTTTTTGTTTTATTTAACTAGATGTCGTCGTGGGTGTCTGGCCTTTTTTGGTCCCGTGTGTGTGTTGTGCTCTTGAGAAAATCCCCTCCTCTCCGCTCTTGGCAAATAAGTTATGGTCGCAATTCCTTTTCTTTCTTTATTTTTTTTTTTTATTTTTTTCCTTCAAAAGAACGTTGTCCGGGTGCTGCTGGCTTCACGTGTCCGTGGGGAGGGGAGGAGGAGAGGGGCGTACCGGTTACGTCACAGTCGTAGAGCTCACAGGGGGAGTGTCGTGTTGGTGGGAAGGGCCGTCACATGTCAACGTCCGCCCCTGCAGCCCACTACACCATCGACACCCTCCGCGGTGTCGGTCTGCTGCCGATGCAGTTGGCGCTCTCGCGGCAGCCACGACTGCGGCCGCACGTTAGGCATCTAAAAGGCCTCGTGTATCCTCTGCCGTACTACGCCATGTGGCGGGGTAACCACAACAAGTACATGTACAACCAAAGCACCGTCTCGCGCTGGGGAGAAGGCGAGACACGGCACATGTACCATCAGCACTATTCACATGCGAAGTGTCCTACAGACTACGGCCGTGGTGGACGGGAGTTTGAGTATTTGTCTGTCAAACGCGGCCGGCTGGTAAAGAAACCGCTACCGCAGGTGCAGTACGTATCGAAGGGATCCAAGCCGACGTGGTTATTCAAGTCATGGCACACTCCGCTCAGTTCGCCAACGATGTGGGAACGGGAGGTACAGTACGCCGAGCATGTTCCGGAGCATCTGGGTGCAAAGAGACCCCTGGCTGTCGTTGCACCTCGCACGATGCATCGCTATTTGTTCCTCATGCACATGGAGAAGATAACCATCACCATCTCCCCGTTTCTTTTCGGGTATGGACACACGTTGCAGAAGGCGGTGATGGACTTCTATCGGCGTGCCATTAGCGCACGGGCACCTTTTCCGAAGGATAAAGTGTTTTTGTTTTACGCCATTGATCACATTACCCCACGCATTGAGGTGACGTGGCTCAATGGCAAAACGTACGTGCCTCCCTTGCTGGAGGGAACGAGTTCCCATGACCTCATTCAGATGGTGATGGAGGAGGCGTGGCTTGCCGCAGACCGCATGGGGGCAGAAGGACGTGTCCTGAACCCGTTGGCTATCGATGATTACAAGTGGGAGCAGCTTATCGTCTTCAAAAAGGTACGGGATAAGGAGGCAGCAAAGGGAGGTGGCAAGAAGAAGTAGGAATGAAGGAAGCAAAGGAAAAAATAAAAAAAAACATTTAAAATAAAAAGATGGCTAGGCGTTTTTTTAACGTCATTCTACTTTTGTTTTTGTGGTTTTTGTTTTTTTGCGGTTTTTACTGTTTGGTTGGCCGGAGCTGACGAGGAGGAGGAGGGGGGGGGAAGAGAAATGTTGTTGTTTCTACCGTCAGCAGTAGCACCCGTTACCCGCCAAATATATTATATTTACATACATGGAAAGTGAGTGCATGCGTGTATAAATTTAGTGGTTGCACCTCCTTTTTTGTTTCTCTCCCTTCTTTCCATTTCTTTGCCGTTTTTTTTTTTCTTTGTTGTTGTTGTTGTTGTTGTTGGCTGCATTTACATCACACGATTGCCCTTCACGCACACACGCAGAAGAGAGCAGCAGCAAAAGAAGAGTAAATCCACGAGCAAAAGGAAGGAAAAGTGCACCGAAAAAAGGAAGAAGAAGAAGAAAAAAAAACAGGTGGGGAGAAAAAAAAATAACTGAGGAGAGAGTGTTAAATAAAGCAGGAGGCGAAGAACAGAATAAGAGGAAGAAGGTGGAGAGTAAAGCCGACGGGTAAGACACGGGGAGGGGGGAATTTTTTGACTTTGGGGCAAATGGATGTCTTTCGTTCCGGTCTTAGTGGTGCCTTTAACGGCGGCGGCATAGAACACCTGCTACAGCAACAGCAGCAGCAACAGCAACAATTAACAAGCGCCACGACGACTGGCACGACTGTAGCCGGGACGGCGCCGTCCCGCATGGTTGGCAGCGGGAATGTGTCGGCACACACGACAGTGCACGTCACCACTTCAACGGAGGTAGACCCATTTGATGAGAAACGCATCGACGAAATTCGTAGGACACTCCGCATGTTGGAGGATATTGGACACGGGCGGCACATCATTAACTGGACGGAGTTGGTTGACCCAAGCCAGCCAGTGGAATCTGCGAAGAAAATCAGTGCTGCGTTGGCAAGGCCTACCACGGTTCCCGGTGCCATTTCGAGCGTTGCAGAGTGCATCACCACACCGGCTCACCTGTCGATTGTAGCTCTCCTAGACCCGCCCTTTTTGGCAAAGGTGCGGGATGCTGTATTGCAGGACCTTCTCAACGCTCTGACGATGGTGCATGAGTCTAACCCCATGCCCGTTTGCTCCGAGATGTTGGTAGAGATGGTAAAACTTAATCTCGTAGTACTTCGTGGCGTGGCATCGACGCTGGAGGCACTACTGAGTGATCCCAACAGTCGCCGGGCGGCCATCGCAGCACTGGGAAAACTGGCGGATCAGAAACGTGGAAATGAGGTTTTTCTGGGGGCGATGCAAAACCTGGAGCCCCTAGTGCGGATGATAGATGAGCCGGAATACGAGTACGACTGTCTCGCCATTTCGCGCCTGTTAGGATGGGGTGGGGCACACAAGACAGCGTCGCTTGTGCCCGTGAAAAGAATGGATCACTCGTCCCCTGTGACTGCCATGACATATTTTCGCCAGCGCGATGAGCTTGCTTCCGCCACATTTGATGGAACGGTGACTATTTGGGGAACTCCACACCCGTCGACGGGGGATGTAAAGGCAGCCGTGGCGCTGGATCTCCCACAGTATTGTGTGCCTGTAGCAATGGACGGTCCTCCGCGAGGAAATTACCTGCTCATTGCTGGGATGCCCTTTCCTGCTGTGAATGTGCAGACCATGGAACTTGAGAGAGGAAGCATAAACTCTAATGTTATGAATAACAGCTTCAACAGTAGCGGCAAGAAGCGAAGTTCATTTGCGACTGTGCCCAGGGGACCTATTGTGCGTTTGCTCACCTGCAATGAGAGTACGGGGGCATGGACAAGTGGAGAGACGATAACGCGGAAAGAAAATGTCACACTGACCACGGCGGCCGCCTTAGCAAGTTTTGTCGTGTGTACCGCGGAAAGTGGCCCCAGCGACAAGTTGTCTGAGTCCGGGCTTCAGCACGATTTAGTTCTCCTCAATGGACACACCTCTCAGTTTTTACGGCGGTTTGAGCGGGTCCATGACGATTATACCACCATCATTCGCGCCGCGGAGGATGGTGATCGCATCCTCTTCACAGGCTCACGTGACTCCGTTGTGAAAGTGTGGGACATTCGTAGCGGCAACAATCGCGCCGGTTTAACAACGGCCGCCACGATGAGCGCTTTGGCGACGCCGTTACATCGTCTGAAAGGCAACCACACAGACACCATCACGGCAATCCTGCCCCACCGTAAGGCCCTGTTGACAGCATCCCTAGACGGTTCATTCCTAGTGTGGGATGCACGCCGCATGACCGCACCGATGCATGAGGTGCGCCTGAAGGACCCAATACTTGATCTCGCACTTGCAGATAGCGGATATGTTGTCATATCCACCGCGCGGGGGCTTAAGCTTTTCTCACTTGAGAGTCTTAAGGCACATGATATCATCCCTAACGTCGCTTATACGCAACTTAAAGCAAATAATGACGGTAGTATCATTTTTGCTGCAGGCAATAGCGGGGTCAGCATATATGCGTTGCACCGATAATCAGAAATTGAAGAAGAGCAAAACAAATGTGATATATATATATGCATATGAAGGAGAAGAAAAAAAAAAAGCAGGATCCATCGGCATGGGATTGTTATTCTGCAGCACCATTTATGTAAGAGTGTGAGACGAAGAAGAAAAGAGGAGGAAACCGCAATTGGGGGGGGGGGAATGTTGGGGTTAAAAGAGACGGAAGGGGAGGGAT